TTCGGCAAAGAAAGTTGTGAATTTCGAGGGAAATTTCCAGCAATGTAAGTAGGCCCCAAATTGTGCGTTTAATTGTGTGAAAATCGACTGGCAGCTGTCGTTTGGGCCAAGTGATGTTTGTTTCCGGTTTGTGGGGAGTGTCGGGGTGGCGCCCATCGCCGACGTCTGACCCGGTTGCAATATGGACGACGGCGGCGGCGTCGCTTTGCTGGGAATCATGTGCGGTGTGCTTTTCCGGGGAAATTGGCTTTTCCAATTGCTCCGCGACCCGCCAGTTGGGAATCGGTGGAGCTAACAAGACTGTCGGCCTTCATTTCCGCACCGGCTAGAAGCAGGGCTTCCAGAGATTTCCCTGCCAGCAGCGACGTGGTGTGGTGCCGCCTCGTGCTGTTTTCCCAGCATTTCCCGGCTAGCAATCTTTGCCTGGAATTGGCAGTGGAAGCCGGCGCTGTCAGCTTTCCACTTCCGTCCTGCAAATGGTCTTGATCCTTGGCCTTTGGCCTTCGAAAGGTTTGCCCCACCAAATGGCCATGCCAATCGCGCAGCGCCATCCGCATTTTGTGAGGTTAGGCATGAATCGCAAAAAAAAAACGAAGAAAAAAAAAAGCGACGAATTTGCTTCATGTTTCTTCTGCCGGCAGCGACGTCAACGTCGGCAGCGGCGTCTGTCTGCGTGTTTGTGCCCGTGTGCGTGCGTGTGTGTGTGTGTGTTAGAATCCGATTTGTTATTTAGAATTTATTTAGATTGCCGTTTCGCCGATTTGCCGATTTTCACGTGAATTGCGACTGGCCTGCAAGCAAACTGGCCCGCTGCATTTATTCGTACATATGTCGGCATTTTTCTTTTTGGCGCGCTTTGCAGCGTCCACAGGTTTCCACAAATACATATGTACGCATATATATTGAGCTGTAATTCGCCGGTGTTACAGGGCGACCTCCATAAGATGGATATTACCGGCATGCGCAGGATTTTCGCATTTCACAATCGCACCATCCTGCAAATCACAACATCTGAATCTTTGTCATCTGTTGTGAGTCAGCGATTTCAGCAATTCACGAAATTGGCCTTTATTCACTGAGAAAGTACATATTTCTATACCATACTTCTATAGTAATTTCAATTTAATATTCACATTCATATACAAATTGTATTTATTGATATTCCTTATTTAACTTAAGTATGTTTCCCCATTTTATATATGATAGTTTCAACACTTTCTTATCTTTGAAAGTAAATAGTATTTATAATTATATGATAAACAGACTTGTAAAGCATAGGGAATTTTTTTCGGCCATTACGAATTTTTGTGTAAAGTTTTCACCACATTTGTACATAGTTTAAAATATTACTTTACTTAGAAACCAACATTCCCAAGGGCTTTTCATAGTTTTGCGAAATAAAACCAAAAATTCAATGAAAGTTTATGCGCAAACCTTGTTAACGAATACAAAATAAAAACTGAGATACTTCCTTGCTTAGGTTTTTTAAATTTGTAGTAATATTCAGTCATATTCATATTATAATATTCAATACTCTTTTATAAAAAAGGTATATGAAGTTTATCTATGTCAAATTTAGAAAAATAACCTAATTAATTAAATCAAAACATTCAAGTTCAGTTCAGTTTCTTAAATATTTTAAACAGTAATTTATATAATTTTTATTACATTTTCCAACTAAAGTTCCTATACTCATCAATTTAAATTAGTATACCTAGAACAATTTTGGGTCAGATGCGTGAGTTATACGGGTTTCTTTTGTGTGCCGCATAAACGTGATGTGTGTTTGCCTGCAAAGTATATCCTTCCGCCTCCCTGACATTGGTCCTTCTTGTCGTTGTTGTTGCTGCTGTTCGGTTTTGGTGCGCCAGGAATTTTCGCCTACCTGCATTCGCAGGCAGAGCCCCTGTGGCCGTCTCTCTCGCTCTCGCCGCGCATCCTGCGGCCCAGCGGGAGCGGCAGCTGCAGTGTCCTTTGTCGTCATCCTGCTCGCTCCTTTTGCGCCCTGCTTCCTGCACACGGTTCCCTGCTCCCTGCTCCCTGCTCTCTGCTCCTTTCGCCCTGTTGAACAGCTGGTTGCTGTCCTTGGCGGGCTTTGACGCATCCTTTGTGCACGTCACATTCTGGACATTTTGGCTCGCCGAAGGATTCGCATACGCAGTCACAGTCAGTCGCCTGGCGCTCGCCGAACCAACAACATCCTTGCCTCCTGTTCTGCTGCTGTTGCTCAGAGCCTGTCGAAAAAAAAAAATATATTTATTCAAAGTACTAACCAGTCCAATCGACTTCTCAACCCACACACAACAGCCCACTGTTCCGCCGCCAACGTCCAGAAGAGTCCAGAATATACACAGACACAGTGATCGATAGTTCTAGCAGGATGGCTCAGGAAGGTCAGGATATACCCACATTCAAGTGCGTGCTCGTCGGCGATGGCGGCACCGGAAAGACGACCTTCGTCAAGCGTCACATGACCGGCGAGTTCGAAAAGAAGTACGTGGCCACACTTGGAGTGGAGGTGCACCCGCTGATTTTCCACACCAATCGAGGCGCCATCCGCTTCAACGTGTGGGACACCGCCGGCCAGGAGAAGTTCGGAGGTCTGCGCGATGGCTACTACATCCAGGGCCAGTGCGCTGTCATCATGTTCGACGTGACCTCGCGTGTAACCTACAAGAACGTGCCCAACTGGCATCGCGATCTGGTCCGCGTCTGCGAGAACATCCCGATCGTCCTCTGCGGCAACAAAGTGGACATCAAGGACCGGAAGGTGAAAGCGAAGAGCATCGTCTTCCACCGAAAGAAGAACTTGCAGGTGAGTGCTTGCCCCAGTTATCCGCCGGATAAGTGAGGACTTCAGAATGAGAGTTTGAGTTAGAGTGAGAGTTGGTAGTAAATTTTGCTTTGGATATGTTTATCAACGCCTTCCATTTGTTGAAATAATAGAAAACACTGGCAACTAAAGACCACACGTAAATTTTGAAATGAGGAACTTTAAATGAGGACTTCGGATTGAGAGTTAGAGTTAGAATGAGAGTTGGTAGTAACTTTTACTTTGGATATGTTTATCATCGCCTTCTTTTTGTTAAAATAATGGAAAACACAGGCAACTAAAGACCACATGAAAATTTTTAAATGAGAAACCTAAAATGAGGACTTCAGAATGAGAGTTAGAGTGAGACTGAGAGTTGTTAGTAACTTTTGCTTTGGATATGTTTATCAACGCCTTCTATTTGTTAAAATAATAGAAAACACTGGCAACTAAAGACCACGTGTATATTTTCAAATGAGAAAGTAAAAACAAATGTATTTGAGTAGCCTGAAAACAAAGTGTTGATTGAAAAAGTCTTAATCCAATTTACAGTCTCAACATATGAAAGCATATTTAGCTATTGCTTCTTTTCGGTTTGTATATAAACCAAGCTGTATTCCAAGTTATGAATGTGAATTGCGAAACTGCCTCTTCTCTATATTTAGATATATTTTCCTCTACCCTTTGGAACTCGCTTGACTAAAACGATCACTTGTTTCTTCGCAGTATTACGACATCTCTGCCAAATCGAACTACAACTTCGAGAAACCATTCCTTTGGCTGGCGCGCAAGCTGGTTGGCGACCCCAACCTGGAGTTCGTCGCCATGCCAGCCCTGCTGCCGCCCGAGGTCAAGATGGACAAGGATTGGCAGGCGCAGATCGAGCGGGACTTGCAGGAGGCTCAGGCGACCGCCCTGCCCGACGAGGACGAGGACCTATAAGCCTATTTATAGTTAACTGGGAGATATGGCCGGCTTGCAGAACACACAACACAACACACACACACACCACAATTACATAACAAGGCATGAGTCGAGGGAACAGGATGATAGGCGAACAGGAAGGACGAGGAACAGCGGCAGCAGCAACTATAGCCTAGAAGCGTCAGCAATAATCTACTATCCCCACTATCGGATTGCCAGCATATACGATCGACCCCCTTAACACCTTACCCAGCAAGCCGGCGAGCCAGCAAGCCCATCCAGCGCTTCAACCGTCGATCGTAACATATTTTTAGATCCACTCATTGATAAGTCGGTTATAAATGATTTTTTTTTTGTTTGTTCCCTTTGGCGTTCGCTTTTGGCAGATACAGATACTGAAATTGTCCTAATGGTAGAGAAACGAAAAACATACCCAAAATTCAAGTGAAATAAAAAATCGAATTCGTATTTTTTTAAAACTTGCAACATTGCTGTTCTTTTCCACTCGTACAACACAACAACTAACTAAAAAAGTAACTCAACATCGGTGTGCATGTTAGAAAAAGAAGGAGACGGCAAGCTCTGTGCGCGGGAGAGAGCGAGAGCGCAGCAGCAGGCAAATGAACTGAGTCCCAAAGGATAGTAAACAGAAACCGAACAGAAAAACACTTAAAACAATAAGTAATATGGAAAGGCCGCCGAATCCTCCACATCCACATGTTATTAATCTAAGAACTAAAGAAATAAAAAAATAAACGTCGAAAAAAACTAAACAAAACTCGGTTTCCTATAGAGTGGAAGTTGGAAAGGAATAATCTTAGATATATGCTATTGATCAGAGGATTGTCCGATTTTACACCACTTTGCTTAGTTAAGGAGTTTAATGATTCAAACTTGAACAATAATTGTTAATTTAAAACAAATTTCCGCACTTTTCAAATGTTATTTTGTGTTATTACTGAAGAATTCGCGTTCCCCTTGGTTGTAAATGATGATTGTTTATTCAAAAATAATTTCTTCATTTTTTAAATGCGAGCTAGCTTTGCTTCCTTTTTATAAATCGTATAGATTGATGGACTTTTCAAATGTTATTTCGGTTTATTACTGAAGAATTCGCGTGCTCATCTGATTTTAAATGATGATAGTTTATTCAAAAAGGATTTCTGCATTTTTTAAATGCAAGCTAGCCTTGCTTTCTATTTATAAATCGTATACAACATGAACTTAAAACCTCACTAGCAAAACCCAATCAAAGTAGCTTTCATTAATTTCGCATATATGTATTTCTTGCACTTTATTTGTGGAATATCCATTCAGGAGTATTTTATTCGATTTAAGGACACTTGAGGCAGCAGGCGGGAAAAACGCCTGTGAAGCGATCCTTGTTGGCACACGTGATCTTTTGCTGGGCGCAGCTGTAATTAAATGTTTATAGGGTTAGTATATTAGAGAGTTTTTGAGATTATTTCGAGCTTAGATTAGTTTGCAAATATATTTTGTTTGTCTGAGCTTGGCACAAGTCTGTAGTCCCAGTTCTAGTGGATTAAGTTAGTTAGTTAAATATTTTCTGAATATATTTTTTAAGGATTAAGGATTACAAAACGTATGTGTTGCCAATGGTGGGATCTGAGCTCAGGATTTTAAGCCTATTATTATCTTGATTAAGCGTTGTTCTTTATAAAATAGGTATATGTAAAACCAAAGACTATATGGTTCTCATATCATCTTTGGTACATATAGTATATCTCTTTTTTAGCTACGTACTTTAATGAAAGTCTAGAATGATCATATGTACTCACTCCTCCACGATGGTCTTGAAGGTATCCGTGCAGATGGCCCGCTTGAGGCACTTGCCCTCCTTGCCGAAGTCCACGTAATCCTGTCCCCGCTTCAGGAGCGGCAGATACTTCAAGAAGATGGTCTCGTCCTCCGAGTTGCGGTACGAGCACACGGGCTCGCTGGCTGAAAGATGATATATATATCAGTTTTGGCAGCCTGGAGGCTCAATTTCCAGCCAGTTCACCCGCATCGGCGGTGGGCAGCAGCGCCTCCGGAAGCAGGAGCGCCAGCAGAACGGCGGATACCAGCCACATGGATGAGTTGTGCATCTTGGAAACGTGGAGAGCAGACTGAACCGACCGCCTGCGAACCCGTTTCCTATTTATAGTTCCCTAAAATGCGACTTGGATCTGTGTTTGTTTGCAAATTAGCGCCGTGATTTGCATTTTCAGCTTGATTGAGAGGGATTATGCTGGCACTTTTAATTGTTTAATTGCCTGGGAGGGTCAGTTGCGTAGTTTGCAAAAGGTTTAATATTTTGCAGCTCCCGGTTTTGAAAATTGAGGGTCACTATCAAAATTCGAGAATATAAGAGAATTTTTAACTGCTTTTTAATTTCTGTAAGTATTTTGGAAACTAATTAATTAAAACCAAACCATTTTTTGATATTTTCCTATTTTAAGGATTCATTAAAAATACAACACCATAGTTAGAATCTCTTTAGAAAATGATATTTAATATTGTTTTAGTAAATTAAAGCTAATTACAATATGATATATATATTGTCTGTAATAACCTGAATTTTTAAACTGAAAATAAGAAGTCTATCGACTTAGTTTTAACGCTTTAAAATAAATCATTTTTCATGATATACAAACATATATTTACTTTTTAAGTTTGGTAGTTGTCCCGTTTATAAAACATAGATATGTAAAACGGAAATATAGTGAATTTTTAACAAATACATCTTAAAGGAATAGTTATTCCAAAACAAAACTGGGCAAGCGAAGTAATACTAAGTTAAGGAATGGTTATTCCAAAACTAAACGGGGCAAGCGAAGTAATACTATATGCTGCATGTGGCATCCGGGTCCAGCCTAGATGTAGTTGCTCTCCGACTCCCGGCAAACCAACTTGGGACAGCAGTCGGGGAAGGTGCGTCGCATGTCCGAGGCGATCTTGCATTTCTCCGTGGGCACCAGGTTGTGGCGACCGCAGCTGGAATAGTTTTGGATAGTTATAAATATGTATGAAGTATATAAAACCTATATAAACCAACTTACTAGCCAATCTCTAGGACATAATCCGGCCGACAGTAGATAGATTGGCAGTAGCCCTCGCGATTGATGGGCTTGTAGGACTGCTTCTTGGGAATGGCCTGGTTGAGTTCCTCATAGTAACACTGACCAGGATAATCTAAGGGAAGTAATAAAAATTAAAAATATTAATTAATATTTCTGCAAATTCTAAGGACACAAAAGATTCATAAATATGAACAACTATCAAGTTCTTATATGGTAGTTTTTATATCATATAACAATATAGTTCAAATGTTTTTTCTGATTTCAAATACAAGTCCTGGTTCGACTCTCACTGCTGCAGAATACATTTTTTAAATTAATTTTGGATTTCACTTATCATTTAAAATTTCTTTTTCGCAAATCAGGTTTTCTTCACTTTGTAGATTAAATTGCCTCACTCTAGAGATCTTTTTTCCAGTTACTAATATATTCACCTGGATGAACCGCATTTCCGCGATATGTGAGATCCGCCCGTGCGGCACCACAAATGCCCAGGAGCACCAGAAGACAACCAACTCCGAATCGCATAGTCACCAATTGAAGTAGTGGAAATGAAGTTGGAAATACCGAAGACCTATCCAAATCCAAGTCTAAATCCAAATCCGACTTGGCTGTTGTGCGCTACCCGTGCGACTGAGTCAATTACAATTAATTGTTGTTGCTTTTATATAAAATTAATAATAAACATTGTGCTGAGTACATACGTACACAAAGAGGTATAGCATATACCCAGATATCTGCTGTAGCTGTGCCTTTTGTTTGGCGACGACTTAAGGCGTCCGCTCTAGCTCTAGTTTAAATTTAAATTAATTAAGCCAGCCCTGAAAGCGAGAGTGATACAAATCTGGCGGGGATCGGGTCGTACTGGGGGGCAGGGGTTTCCCCGACAGCTAAGTGACACGGTTCGAGAAACTGTGGCAAGGTTGCTGCGCCGCGAAAAGTCATCAAAACAAGCAAATAACTCTTTTGTAAATCAGAATTTCGGCCAAATGCACAGGAAAAAATTACAACCTTTAAATAGTTAAAATAAAAAAAGGCACGGGTTCAAGTACAACTAGTGAACATAAACATTTTTTGTATATTTTTAAATAAATTATTAAAATTAGCCAATTCAAAATTCTTTTTAAGTTCTAACCTTAATATTATTAACGAATTTTGGTTTATTCTTATCAATTTTTATGTTAAAAAGTATTGGCTGAACTCTGATCATTCTGAAAAAAGCACTTTTTTAAAGTTATGCTTATTTTTTCTCAGTAAATAAAATATTAAAACTATCAAGTAAGGAACTATTATTATAAAATACTTTCAAATTTCGCACTTTTGAATTATTTTCGAATTTTAGTTATATTGATTTTTTCTCTGTGTACGCTGAACACTTAACACAAGATTCTCGGATATGTATTATGTAGATACAAATATGCAAATTTAATGGAACTCACGAGTGCAAGTGCAATGTGGTTGGGATTAGACTGCATTTGCATTAATTAATTCGAATCGCGGGAGGAGTATAGTTACCGTGATTCGATTTGGTTTGAGTTGGATAAAGTCAAGTTTACGATTTCCAGCACTATCTTAAAAAAATGATAATTATACCTGTAGAAAACTATATAACAGACTTTTTAACTTTATTTCTTTCCCTAGCACTATTTAAGTGCTGATAGTTGTAAAAACACTTGGTTATTAAGTTCGCCTATTGATTCACCACTGTGTAATAGTTGTGAAAATAATTATTTGAACAATAGTTTGCAACGCAGAAGCCACCTAGCTCGATAGCATTTACCTGAAGTATATTTTCCTGCTCTGGGCCAACATCCTTGAGTGCTTGGGCTCGGTTTCCCTGATTCGATTAAGTCAACTTCCCGCACTTCCAGCTGGAGAGCAGGGCAAACCCAATCAAAATCAAATCAAACGGTCGGTTGGGGCACTGGAGCAGCGATAGGGAGCTGATAAGGCAGGCCCTTGTGAGTGCCCCACATATAAGAGAGATGCCTCCATCGACGGGCTATTTGTATTTCAGAACGAGAGCAACCATGCCTGGAGCACCTTGGGTATCCGTGGCTTTCGTGGCCTGTTTAATTGTTGCATCCGTAAACGCCAATGGCTTCAGCACCCAGTACAAGGGTCATACGCAGCACCCAACAATTCCGGAGCACTGCCTCTACGAGGAGCTGGATCTAGCTGTTCCACTCCATGGCTACCTTCTGCCCACCGGACACCAGGACTACTGCATCCGACTGGAGTGCACCGACGACTACCTGCTCCTGATCCGACAGTAAGTCCTGAGACTGGCCAAAGCACCTCTTAAGTAATCCCAATCCCTTCCAGCTGCGACAAGGCGCCATATCCTCGACCCGGCTGCCAGTACTCCGCCAGCGACTACGACCTTGAGCATCCCGCCTGCTGCCCCCAACTCGAGTGTTCCGGCGGATTCTAGATATAAGACTACAGCAGGCTTCAAAATAATAGATTAGTTAGGGCGGAATAGGTGTCATATAAGTATACACATTTTAAAATATAAATATAAATAAATCCCCTTTCAAGAAATAGCACTAATGGTAATATCACCTATTTAGAGATCTTAAAAAAATATATGTGTACCTTACTTTGGTGAAATGTAGTACTTTACTATAAAAAGATTACTACTATCCACAGATCTTGGAAAATATTAATATTTCTTTAGTGAAATATGTATATAATATTACTTTAGCAAAATGAATACTATCCAAAAATCTTGAAAATATATTTTCATTACTTTGATGATATATATTACTATACAGAGATCTTGAAAAATCATTTTGCTTTTAAAAGAGATTACTACTATCCACAGATCTTGAAAAAATGTTAGCCTTACTTTGGTGAAATATACTACTTTACTTTAGACAGACTACTATTAAGATGTCAATACTTCTAAATAAATCCATTTAAGCATGTTATTGCAGTTACTTAAGTCTAAGTTAAAGGGAGCTTTATGGATAATAATTATGGTACTTCTGTAGGTTGGAAATATTTGAATAATAGACTGCGCCAGCCCAATACAAAAATCAATTATTTTTCAATACTTAAAATTTTACGAGGGAAATAATGATGCTATTAATGGGACTGCAGCTGTTTTGCTAGTTTAAAGTCTGGATCTGTTCGTAACAAGATTTGTCCGCCCATTTGATACACCCAAAGACCCCGGGGACGCAATCGTCGCAGCACGGGGATCTTGACCTTTCCATCTAATCACAGGCGCACCCCAAACAAATAACTATATAGTCGGGGAACTGAGCGATCGCCAGATCAGTTTGCTGCACAAGATGAAATCGGTTACGTTCGTACTCTGCCTGATAGTTCTTGGCGCCCACTCGCTCGTCGTTTTCGGCGGTAAATAGGCCATCTGCTCCTCCAGCTCCAGCTCCATATCCTTATCATTGTGCTTTCTTCTCCCTCAGCGGACTGCGAGATCGGCGGCCAGAAGCTGAAGACTGGAGAGACATATAGCCCGCAAGGACGCTGTTTGCAGTACACCTGCCAGGGGCCCAAGAAACTTTCCGCCCTGACGTAAGTTCCAACTCCAAAGGCAGTAGCTCCTTCTCCTCGACTCACTCATTTGTCCCTTCCAGATGCCCTTCGGTGGCCACTTTGAAGCCCTGCAAAATGCAGGAGGATCTGAGCAAGCCCTATCCCGGCTGCTGTCCCAGGTTCGATTGCTAGAAACTGCTCCTGCAAATGGAAATAACAATTAAACAAACTATAAATACAAATCATAAATTTAAAAACAAACTTAGAACTAAAATAACCGACTGTTTTTTGAAAATATAACATTGACCTGGCGAAATAATTAATGGGAATCTCTTTTACAAAAACCAAAATTGCGCATTTATTTCGATTTCGGTTTGGTATACAGGCTTGAACTTAGTCGTATTTGCTCATACATATAGTAAATATACAAGTTGTGTTCTATGTGTATACATATATAAATATTCTCGTGTCAATTGCCACTAATTCACCATTTCACTTGGACATGCACATTGTTTGCTTGCATAACAAGTATATATGTATACATATATCTCTGCTTAACTACATATATGAATTTGTATAGTTCTCTAAAAGTAACGAGGAGACCCCGGCAGTGACCAACTTGCCTATATATCCTGCCCCTCGACGGATCTCCTACGGCTCGGCCATTGCCATTAGATAATTAATCGCACTCATTACGCAGACGCACACACATGGGGGGACAAGCACACATCGGGACACAATCAGCAGGTGCATTTTAGTCTTACGATTACGGATACAGATTAATGGGTATGTAAATGGTGAAGATACAAATCCGATGCGATTGGCGGATTGGTTCGGTTCGTAAACTTGTGCTGCAGCTAGAGCATTGTAGATGTAACCGATTGTAACCTGAGCTAGTCTAAACATTCTTTAACTATGGTCCAACGGCCCGAGGGCCAATAAGTTGATGGGGACTTACACGCTAATACAAATTGCTACTTTTTAATGCGTAATATGGGATAGGATGGGTCTCTGCATAAACTCTAGGCATTCTTTGCAGCGATATGAGCATATTTCCGTGGGAACTCTAAGGGCCGGGTATTTAACTTAATTTTTTTGCTTAAGCCAAAAGTTTACAAACTATTTTCAACTTAATAATAGAATAAAAATTAATAATTTCAAAATTTGTATACTCAAAATCTATAATCAAATTTAATAATTATAAAATTTAACTTAAAAATCAAGTAAAGTTATGTCTAATTGTCCTTATTGCGATCTGCTAAGGTGTAAATTTCAAGAAACTAGAAGTTATTGGATTCAAACAATAAAATCAAGTAATTGCAATATATGTGCATAAAAAAATCTGTTCAATGATCTGACTTAATTAAATAAAAATGTAACTTAAAAAGCGAGCTAAATGTATGTACAATATTTGTTATTGCGATAATTTCAAGAAACTAAAAACTTTTCGATTCAAGCGATAAATTCAAAACAAACAGAAAAAGAAGCGCTCAAGAAAAGGAACCATGATAGCTTTTTTTGAGCAGGTTCTTTTTTTCCGAAGATAAAGCAATGGGAAAGTTAACCTATGACATGAATCCCATAATTTCCTAGCAGAACACGCTCACAATTGTGCAAAGATCGTTCGAAAGATGCCTGGTCAATAAGTGCGACCCATTCTCTCCACGGTTTGGGGGAATTAACCTAGTCGTTAGATGAGGATGCTCCTCGCCTCCTGGTCCTTTTCAATCCGGCGTCGTCAGCTGCGGCGCCAGCGACTCCTCCTCTCATTGGCGCGCCGCTCGCTCCGTCTCCATGAGGCATTCACGCACCAGGATGCGGGCATGGACAATACCGCGCTTGAGTCGCTCCGTGGAGCTGCGCGAGCCCGTGTACGTGGGCCTGATGTCGCGTCCCATCTCCTCAATGACGGCCAACAGCTGGGCGTACTTGGTCAGCCCGTTGCTCGGGCCCACGGACGGCAGGCTGGCCGTGGAGGTCAACGGCGTGGTGATGTTGGCCGATGTCTGAGTGGTCACCACCACGGGCGAGGTGGAGGGCGGCGGGTATTTCAGCTGCGAGGAGCTTAGGTTGAGGCCCATGCTCTGGCCATTGCTGGCGGAGGAGGAGATGCCGGAACCGGAGCCGGAGTTCCTCTGTCCGCCATTGCTGGAGCACATGTTGGCCAGGGAGAGGGCAGCAGCGGCGGCAGCAGCCGGCGTGGCCGTGGTGTTCGACTGCTGCTGGAGGAGGGCCAACTGGGCCTGGAGGAACTGCGGGGAGTACTGGAGGGCAGCAACGGCGGCGGCAGTGGCAGCTGCATTTGCCGCCGCAGCGGAGCTCTGTTTGCTGGACGAGCTGCTGCTGTAGTCGTTCACCGAGGAGCGTTCCCGCTCCCGCTTTCCCCCGCTGCCCGTCGAGTAGTCGGTGGCCGAGTTGGCGGATCCGGATCCACCTCCCCCGCCGCCGGAGCCCCGCGAGTGGTGGATGGCCGAAATCTGGATCTGAGGCTGCTGCTCGCGCTGCTCCCGCTGCTGCTGGTAGTTGTAGAAATTCTGCACCTGGCTGCGTGGAATCGGTGTCACCGTGACGTCACTCAGCTTGGACTCTACGGCCTGGATGTCCATGATGTCCATGGTGGAGCTGGGTGTTCAGGTATCGATCCGTCGATGTGGCGTCTGCGTCCAGCTGATGATTCCGTATCTTTTCTTGCGGTCAAACAAATAATTTGGTGCGTTTTATTGTTTTTTTTTATCTTGTGATATGATATCGATATCGTTCTTCGATATCAGGAGGCGTTATTAACTTAACCCACTACCAACTAGAGGTGGCACTAATTCGATGTTATCGATGAAAACGCGATGAGATGTGCACTCAGCACACTTCAAATCTGCGTGATTACACTGTGCGAAATAAACTGGCCAAAGTGCTTTTTATTAAATGGGGGTTAAGGATACAAAGAAATTTATTTTATCAAATACAAAAATTATAGTTTCAGACAATTTTTCCAATGTTTTAGATACCTCACTGCATGTATAATCTATGATGGATAGATTATCAACTATGATGTTACTAGTACAAGCTTAATAATTGTGTTAAAAATTTTTATTGTTATTAAAATTGCATTTCATTTTTTACAGGGACCGGTAAAAAGATTTATTTGTGATTTTTATTTTGAACGGCGTACTTTGTTTTTTATCTGAATTTGATGAACATTTATGGATTTTGTAGTCAAGCGTTTATATATTCACAAACAATTTTTAATTAAAACATCTAAAATCGACTATCTACAAAATGTAGAAGTAAATTGAAAATATATAAACAGATAGCGAATTTATTTGTACATGTCTTTGGTTATATAGTTATAAAAAATAAATAGTACAACAATTTTAGGAAGAGTTATACAAATAAAATTAGAAGTCCATATTTGGCGGTCGTTACTTATTGTAATATTTAAAAACAGCTGATGTTCTAAAATGCTTAAACAGCCAGTGCTGGGTAACTCACGGAGGTAAATAAGCCAATGGCAATTGTTTCAAATTGACTTGTATTACTGCCTAATACTCTTAAACCCCTCCAACAACAACTGTTAAAAACATAACTACCGTTTAAAATAAATTATATTCACGTTTCTACTCACGAACAAGAACCCATTTCAAATACAACGGCTGGTTGCCAGCACTGGCCGCGCTGCAGTCCAGTGTTGTGCAACGCGGCGCATCGTCATGACAGTGTGGCAAAAAACAATGGCGAGGCGAAACTAAAAAAATTGTGTTGCTGACATCTGGTCGCTTGCAAAACTATTTCGAGCAGATTTTGTGATATTTCGTTGTGATCGGTCGATAAATCCCTAGGTTTTTTTTTTAAGGGGAAGTGCGAAGACGTCGTAGCGGTTGGGAAGACAGCAAGAAAGGTGAGCAAAGGGCAGCAGATTGCGAAAAATTCAATTATATTTCCGCGACCGTCTGTTTTTTTGCATCGCTGTGTGTGCCTGTGTGTGCGAGTGTGTGTGGGAGCTCCGTGTATGACGTAAAGCAAACGCATTTCCCACGATTTCTTTGCCTGTGTGTGTGTGTGACTCTCTTTTTTTTTGCATCTAATTAGGCGACGAAAACATTGATTGGTTGCCAAAGGCCGTAGTTTGTTGATTTTTCGGCCAAAAGGGCCGCCGCAGCTGCATATGTGTCGCTATGTGTGCCGCTCGGCTGTCAGTGTTGCACAGTGCCCGCCAGTGCCCACAAAATGGGCGCACAACAACAACAAGACCTAGAACAACAACGGGAACGGGATTGTATTGTGGATGGGATCAAATCCCTTGTTTAGAATTCCATTCCCATTCCCGCTCCCGCTTCCGCATTTTCCTGCAATCCAATCGGCGTTCTTCGTTTTTGTTATCCGTTGCCAGACGCAACGCGAAAAAACGACAGTTGGCATTTAAATTCGGCTTAAACGCACACCCATACTGGCGCAGGTCAGCAAGCAGCACAAACACACACACACACTCGTTGAAACACTCGAAAAAAAAAACAGACGCGACCTCGGCAAGCAGTTGCCTGCGATTTAGCCGTCATTCCAAATTTCAGATTTTGGGGCTTCCATTCCCTTCTGGACTCATATCACTCCAGTAGTTAGGTTTGAGTAGAACGACATTATTTTCGACCTCACAAAAAATCAGTACTCTAATTTTTGTTCATTTTTTTTCTCTTAAATATTTGTTCAGACAGCAGACACAAAAAAGTAGTTCTACACAACTAACGGGAACAACAACAACATCAACAACAACGTCCTCCTAGACAAGCAGTCGGCTAAGCAGTGGAGCAAAAGGATATTCGTTAGGAAAGATCCAAAGACAACGACAGCTCCGATCCTCATCCTCATCCGAAATGGACATGATTACGGTGGGGCAGAGTGTCAAGATCAAGCGGACGGACGGTCGCGTCCACATGGCCGTGGTGGCGGTGATAAATCAATCGGGCAAGTGCATCACAGTCGAATGGTATGAGCGTGGCGAAACCAAGGGCAAGGAGGTGGAACTGGATGCCATACTCACGCTTAATCCGGAGCTGCTGCAGGACACCGTGGAGCAGCATGCCGCTCCAGAGCCCAAGAAGCAGGCCACCGCCCCGATGAACCTATCGCGCAATCCCACACAATCGGCCATCGGTGGCAATCTCACTAGCCGCATGACCATGGCCGGCAACATGCTGAACAAGATTCAGGAGACCCAAACGATCCCACATCCGCTGGGCAATAGCAATAGCGGCAATACGAACAGCAACTCGAACGCCACGGCCGGCGGCGGCGGTGGAGGAGGCACCACTACCACTACAACTACTACAACAACTGGATTACAGCGACCACGCTACTCGCAGAATGTGACCGGTCAGCAGCAGACGAGGATCGCCTCGGCGGTGCCCAATAACACATTGCCCAACCCCGGAGCGGGAGCCACTGCCAATGCTCCGGCGGCACAGACAGCCGCTGCACCGGCCAGCAACACGACCCAGGGAGCCGGCGGCGCACGACGATCGCATGCATTGAAGGAGGTGGAGCGGCTGAAGGAGAACCGCGAGAAGCGTCGCGCCCGCCAGGCCGAGATGAAGGAGGAGAAGGTGGCCCTGATGAACCAGGATCCGGGCAATCCCAACTGGGAGACCGCGCAGATGATACGCGAGTACCAGGGCACGCTGGAGTTTGTGCCACTGCTCGATGGACAGGCAGTCGACGATCATCAGATCACCGTGTGCGTGCGCAAGCGACCCATCAGCCGCAAGGAGGTCAACCGCAAGGAGATCGACGTCATCTCGGTGCCGCGCAAGGACATGCTCATCGTGCACGAGCCGCGCAGCAAGGTCGACCTCACCAAGTTCCTGGAGAACCACAAGTTTCGCTTCGATTACGCCTTCAACGACACTTGCGACAATGCCATGGTATACAAGTGAGTACTGGCCGAGTTCATCTATCTATCTATTGAATCTATTGGTTGAAAGTCAAGCAAATCTATCTATCTATTATATCTATCGACTGAAAGCCAAACAAATCCGTATTTGGGTAGTACAAGCTTCGGTTTGCTTGGCTTATAGCGTTGAAGGATTTCGTTGAGTTACTGGTGCTGTTAAACAAACATTGGATTTTCTTTTTTTTTATATAGTGGCCTCAAATGCTATTCGTAAAATACTTCTTCAGGTACTGATCATATTTAAATGTGCCTTAATGAGTTTATATTTATAGGATTGATCTTATCTGTAGGAATAATTTGTGTTCCATTCATTCAAATTTTTTATTTATTTATATAAAGCTAGCTTAGAGTTAATCAAATTTAAAGCTCATCAAATCGGGAATTAATTCTTATCTATTTGAATCATCATGTTACCCTATAAATTATGTCTTCGCAAACCATTTCGATTTGATTTAAAGATAATTTATTTCTTTATTAAATAACAATTAAAACATTAATGCAAATAAAATAGTTGCAAACTTTCATTCAAATTTAAGGCTCTTGAAATAACAGATTAATTCTTATCTTTTATGATACATTATGATATCATGTTACCCTATGCAAGAAGTCTTTTAAAACAAATTGAATGTTTGTATATATTTTTATTTTTTATGTGATATATGATCATTTAAATCTGCTTTTAATAACAATTAAAACATTAAAACAAATCAAATAGTTGGAAACTATCATTCAAATCTACCATTCATCAAATAGCAGATTAATTTTTATCTATTCGATTCATTATGATATCATTTAAATATCAACTTGAATGTTTCTATTATGATTACAATCTATTTTTATGTGATTACAAGATCGTTTATATTCCTGAATAGAATAACAAATCATAAAAGTTCGAAATGTTTGCTGAGTTCCAATTGAGTAAATATTTATTGGGAACTTGTTTTGGGTGATCTGGTGACTGGTCTGGACGCTCGGGCATCTCTGGCCGAGCGCCTCGTTTGAGTCATGCCGACAGAGACGGCAACAGAAACCGAAACAGAGACATGCATCCGAAAGCGGTTGCTCCCGAAATAGCCAAGTTTGCTTGGTATGACTAAGTCGAAGGCCCAGACATACGCCTCCCCCCGCGATGGCCGATCCACGCTCGAACTCTCTATTGAATTGAATTCTTCCAGCGGAAGAGATTTCGAAAAGTAACTGCCTTTTGGCCCGGCATTTGGCCATTAGTAATTGCTTGCCTTCAATTGAATTAAAGCGGCTCTTCACTTTGTTTATCTGCTGCTGTCCGACTTTCGTTTGCACCCCCTTTCTCCGGCAACTTCTTGGCTTTAAATCGGTTTCCGGTTTTTGCGCTCGGCTGTATTATATGGCTCTCTGGAATTGGTAACGCCATAAACACCATAAACGCCACACGTAAACGTTGCGTCACGGCGAACTGCAGAGTATACCCCATGAGTAATGGCGGGGATTAATACGAAAGACTGTTTACGATAACGAGTGAATCGCCAGCTGATTGGAAAAGAATCATGCCTTATCATCAAAAGACCAATACTTAGGCAGAAAATAATTATATTCACAATTTTATATTGTTTATTTGCATTTTTATGGGGTGTTTAACCTGTAGTTTATTATACAGAAGGGGTTGTCTTTGACTAAATCAAATTAAAATGTTTAGGTGCAGTTTCTTAATGTTATGTTAGAGTTCTAGTTTGTTAACTGTTAGAGAAAGTTAGCATTAAGCTTACGACAAACCTGTGAAAGAGGATTTTACGAACTTTTTGTCAAGAAATTTAACACGAACATTGCCTCTAGTTAGAATTTTCATTCAGATAAACACCAACATGATATTTAAAAACTGCATTTATTAGAAAAAGCAAGTTTAACTTGACGACAAAAGATAACAGGACATTGAGAAATAGGTATGACAGACCTGAAAAAGAGGATGTCAAATTAAACATATGAAAATTTACCAATCACTAACATGATAATAAGCAACCAAACTTTTTTTTTCGAAAAAGCAAATTTAACTCTACGATAAAAGTTAGCATGACATTGAGAAATCGGCTCTCGAGTATTGAAATCGAAACAAGAGCATAACCTAGTAAAATAATATATAACTTTTACTCTTGCTTTTTGGAATCGATATGGTTTCTTCTTGAACTTTTGAACTACAACTTAAACTTACAACTTTCACTCTTCCCCCGCAGATACACAGCCAAGCCTTTGGTTAAGACTATTTTCGAGGGAGGAATGGCGACGTGCTTCGCCTACGGCCAGACAGGATCCGGCAAGACGCACACAATGGGCGGCGAGTTCAATGGAAAGGTGCAGGACTGCAAGAATGGCATCTACGCTATGGCGGCCAAGGACGTTTTTGTGACCCTCAATATGCCGCGTTACCGCTCCATGAATCTAGTCGTTTCGGCCAGTTTCTTTGAGATCTATAGCGGCAAGGTGATTTATATGCTTGTTATGTGACTGCTCTACAGCCAACTAATAATGAATTCCCACCAGGTATTCGACCTTCTGGCCGACAAGCAAAAGCTGCGCGTCCTCGAGGACGGCAAGCAGCAGGTGCAGGTGGTTGGCCTCACCGAGAAGGTGGTGGACAGTGTGGAGGAGGTGCTAAAGCTAATCCAGCACGGCAACGCTGCCCGCACCTCTGGCCAGACATCGGCCAACTCGAACTCGTCGCGTTCGCATGCCGTCTTCCAGATCGTCCTGCGACCGATGGGCACCACAAAGATCCATGGCAAGTTCTCGTTCATCGATTTGGCGGGCAATGAGCGTGGCGTGGACACCTCATCGGCCGACCGGCAGACACGCATGGAGGGTGCCGAGATCAACAAATCGCTGTTGGCGCTCAAGGAGTGCATCCGTGCGCTGGGCAAACAGTCGGCCCACTTGCCCTTCCGTGTCTCCAAGCTCACACAGGTGCTGCGCGACTCGTTCATTGGCGAGAAGAGCAAGACCTGCATGATCGCCATGATCTCGCCGGGACTGAGCTCCTGCGAGCACACGCTCAACACGCTGCGCTATGCGGACCGTGTCAAGGAGCTGGTGGTCAAGGATATCGCCGAGGTTGGCCCCGGCGGCGATCGCGATGTCATCGAGATAATGGACGACGAGGAGGAGGAGGACCTTAATCTGGTGCATCCGCACTCGCATCAGATGCACCAGAATTCGCATGCGCCGACCTCCCAGTCGCAGCATAACCAGCGTGTCGGCGGTGGCGGACCTGGCTCCCATCACTCGGGCAGCATTCATAACAACAATAACAATAACAACAAGAACGGAAACGCTGGCAACATGGACCTGGCCATGCTGAGTTCGCTGAGCGTGAGTATTCCAACCATTTTTCTCCCAATATTTTCCACGTCCCTGTGTCCGCCCACCATCTAGACATAACCAAGACCGTGCTAAGTTTAATTGGAATTATGAATTATGAATTATGCAAAACAACTGGCTCTGGGAAGATCTGGGAATGGCGGGAATAACGCAAAATCTTTTGGCTGTGAACTATATCTTATTTGGTTTTAATAGCAATTCAAACTTTTTTTCAAATTGTTTTTATTTGTGCAAACAAAAATTTGTAATGTCGTTTTGATGTTGTAATAATAATATATACCTTCCCAATGCATTGAGCTAAAAAAAACAGCAAACATGGGTTATAAATTCAATGGTCTTGAAAGGGTTATCAAATCGAATAGGCCACCTCCCTGAGCAGATGGCTTTGCCTTTAGCCTCACCTCAGTCACCCTAGTCACATCCACTTGGAGCTCAGTTCGCAGCTCATTCCATTCAGTTCGGGTTATAGCTTCAATAAACAAGTCAATCGAAACGACCTAACATAATGCCTAAATTTCCGACTAAGCGTTTTAACAACGAAGCTGCTCGCAACAGCAAGACACCAAATATCGCGAGGTATACCAACTCACGCGCTCTGCGCTCCGTCTACAGCCAGTTGCCTGGTGCGGTGGGCGGTCAGAGAGCAGGAGGAGGAGCAAGTGAAGCTGGAGCTAGCACTGCGCCGGCTACAACGGCGCCGAAATCGCCCCCACCACGCGTGTGGAACTGCAACAAGCCCAAGGTGGCGAAGCCAGCGAATAGGACCTACAACGTTTATGCCAAACGGCAGACCAATTTCATGGGCAAAGAGGGATCCAAGATGAGCATCAGGCAGTGGGCACATCCCCCGTATCCCGTGCACCGTTCCAAGGAGCAGAGGAACAGACAGAAAGAAAGACCACGCAATTTCGAGGCGTTCTATGTGCCCTTTGAGCCACTGGAGTCCTTGAACCAGTCTTTCTTTGTGCCGCTAGACGACAACCGAGAAATGCCCCAACCCAGGCGTCAGAGAACCAAAGCAGAGATCCTCCCAGCAGAGGCGAAAGCCAAGGAGCAGCCGCGTAATAACTCCTTCCAGCGGCTGCTCCCAGCAGGAGAGCGTTATGCGCTGAAGACCGCCGAGATGGCCAGCCTGATAGCGAAGGCCAAGTCACGCCAGCGGATGCTGAAGGCCAGCGAGGAGATGAAAGTGGATGATGGGCCCTTGCTGCCACCTCCGCCGCAGTTCGCCGAAGATTCCAGTGAGTCCAGCAAGCGACTGATGCTCCAACGCTCCCGCACGGAGACGCTCTTCTCGACCTTCGACTGCGACGAGATGCTGTACAAGTACGCCTGTCGTCTGCCCTATATCCGGGATCCGGCCAATCCCAATGGCACACGACCGAGGATGCCACGATATCCGTCCAAGTTGACGATCTAAATTGAAAGGCAGTCATCCACTTGGCTGCATTTCCACTTCCTTATATTTTGTTATTTCCCGAGTTGGCGCCCAAAAATCTTTAATTTGTTTTGGATTTTCACTGAAACCCGAGGTCCTTTCGGGTCATGCAGGATTGGTTCCGCCTTTGCATTTAAAAGACTATCCTGTAGACAGTGAATTAAAGTAAATAGTATTCCATTCAATCGTCTTTCATCGAAAGGAAAACTAATATATTTATTTTAAGGGTTGGAAAGGGTTTTCATCTATTGGATACATATATAGATTAAGTTAGTATTTGTAAATGTTCATTAAATTTGTAAATTGAATGTGAATAAGCAATACATTCTTATGTACTCATTTAACTTGTTACATCCTTTACCCATTTTTAATTCTTAAAAATGTTCAAATCACACACTTTAAAACCCTATCCATTACCATCTGCAGGAACACGAGATGTCCGATGAGTTGATTGTGCAGCACCAGGCCATCGACGACCTGCAGCAGACGGAGGAGATGGTGGTGGAGTACCACCGCACCGTGAACGCCACCCTGGAGACCTTCCTGTCCGAATCGAAGGCGCTGTACAACCTGACCAACTATGTGGACTACGACCAGGACTCGTACTGCAAGCGGGGCGAGTCGATGTTCTCGCAGCTGCTGGACATCGCCATCCAGTGCCGGGACATGATGGCCGAGTACCGCGCCAAGTTGGCCAAGGAAGAGATGCTCTCGTGCAGTTTCAACTCGCCGAACGGCAAGCGTTAGTCCGTGTATCCAGCTTGATCACCTTTCCCCCCTCCAACCCGTTCTTTTTTAAATAACTACTATTCCCCTCTGGCTTCCCATCTTTGTGAAAAAGAATGCTCTAAATGCACTCACACAAGAACTTTAAATTTTAATTGGGCCCTCACGCGGCCCCCTCGCCAGTGGATGTGAGTCTCCCCGGAGGCTTTGGTCCACACTTGAAGTCCTGGCGATGGGGGCTAGTATTTTTACAAACAGAACAATGAATGAAAGGAACTTGAAGAAACCTATTTATATAGCATATAAATAAAAATGTCTTGTAAAAATAAGACTTGTCAGCCCCCTAAAGCATCCTCTGTCTCTCTTTCCAACTCGCTGTCGCTGCGAGAGCTAGTTTATTAGGTTTTTAACTACATTAATAATCGAGGAGCGACACGGGTGAAAGCCTGTTTAATATATACTTTTCGATCTAAGCACGGGAACAGATACAGATGCAGATTTACCATGACAGCAACACACCAATAACCGAAAAACTAACTAAACAGCAGGCCACGACTTTGCTGGGTTCTCTTTCAGTTATGATTATATGATTATAATTATAATTTCTGCGCAGTCGATACTTTTGTAAAAGAAAAAGACATTTACTATATTATAATTACTACTTACATACGTTCTACTCTATTTATAATATGAGATTCCATTTAATATAATTACCTTATGCGATTTGTACCCTTTTCATTTATTGTCCTTTCAATGCTCGTCCAGAGTTTGTTCATGCCACGGCACAAATCTATTATATTTTACGACTACATACGAACTAATCGCGCATTGTATTTATTTAAAGGCCACAAAACTGTATTTAATTTGTATTAATTTATTAAAATACTTGCACCAAATCCAATTTACATACATAATACGTATTCCCCCGTAACTGTAATGATTATCTTATGTAACCGAACTGCAATCTTTGCCTGAGAGATATTTAGCCAGCGAGTGTTTTTTTTGGGATACTTTTAATCCACTTCCTTTCGTTCTCTAGATCCATATATCTTTATATATAATTTACATTATATTTTTTTTGTCATTCTAAGCGACTTCGGTGAAGAATTTAAAATGCAAACTGTCTTTGCTATTAATTTTTAAAGATGATTTGCATTTCATTTTGTACTAATATTTATTACATACATTTAATTACGTTTAAACGACTAAAAACTAAACTAAACTATCGAAAGCAAATCAAACGAAACTTAACCAAATCATGGATTTCCACACACGGCTTGTACTGCGTTGAAGAAAAAACACAAATCGGTTCCAAATAGCGGAGAGCATAGAAACTTAGCCTTAACCGAAAAGAAACGAAAAACAAAACAACAAACTAAACTAAATCGAAAAATGAAAAACATACTCACGTGCTTCTCCTAAAGTATTTTATCCAAACAAGACGTTTAATCATTTTGTTATTGCATTTCCTCAGAGCACTATAAAAGTACCCCCTCCCAAAGCAGGCGAATGATATCCATTTTTTAATCCACCAAATGCGAGTTTTTAAAACAATGTTAATATGGAAAAACCAACTGAATGAGTGCTTCGATATTATGCGGTATAAATAATGAAAGTGTTAGGACTTGGACTCTAATAATGTATTATTAAATATAAATAATAAATTATATTGTAATAAAAAGTGAACATACACAACTAAATTTAACATTAAAGATGTGTAAAGCAAAAACAAATGCATTTTTATTTTCAAAGGGGATCTGGGCTGCTAAAGAACTGCATACTCGTATGTGTATAATTTTAGAAACAAATATTAATTCAAAATCTGAGAAATTGCCTTCGGAATTGTATCAAATATTTTCATATTTCAATATAATATCCAAATGCATATGAAAAAGTCAATAGAAATTTCTTTAGCACCAAATTAAGTCTAACCTCTAACATAAATTTAACAGTATTTGAAAGCGAATCGTTTATATTCAAAGCCTTGGGCTTGTCATTTCCTTAAAAACAAATAATTAAATTGTTTTTGTGTATAAACCTTTTTTTTAAATTTAAAAATTCCTGTTTCTATATTTATATTTTTAACAAAATTATTAACAACATGAAAAATTACTAACAGCATGAAAGGTCTGATAATTTTTTAAACAAGTGTTCAAAACTATTTTTAAATATTTCTGAATTTAATTTTTAAACCAATTCAATTTGGTATATAGAGTAGTGATAGTAAAGTGCCCTCTCTAGGCAGACAAGAGTTGCCAGATTAGGGGGTTCCCCTTAATTTAGGTGCCAAGTTTGAGGGAAATAATTTTTAGGAAGGGAAATTTCGTGTTTCTTTAGGGATTTCAATGTAATTTTGGTGGAAAATATTCAAGAATTACTAATCTTTTATATTAAGAAAATGTATGCTAACACCAATGCATATAAACCATGTGTAAATAAATAAAAATTTATTCCTTTATTTTTCGTTAAATTAATTTATGTTTTTATTTCAAGAAAGTGTATTTAAACATGTACGGTTTCCAATTAAACTAGATTTTGAATTTAGGGGAATTTTTTAATGGTAATTCAGGGCTGGTTTCAGGGGAAAGCTGTTTTCCGCCGTCTGGCAACCCTGGCGGCCAAGTGACGTGGAATTGTGTTGTGTCAACTTGATGCAAATGCAATGCTAGAGCGTGTAAACCTGGTCGTGTTCAAACTGCCGGATCGGAAGCGTAGCTAAAATGTTGGACTTTGTGGTGATATTCACCAAGGGCGGCGTGGTGCTGTGGCACTCGTCTGCCTCCGAAGGCAGCTTCGTCTCCTGCATAAACAGCCTGATACGTGGCGTCATCCTGGAGGTGAGTGGACATCGCAGTGAAGGACCTATCTGCGGATGGTTGTTAATGGTTTTGCCTTGCAGGACCGGAACACAGAGGCCAAGTACTTCGAGGAGGACCACCTGGCCGTACAGTTCAAGCTGGACAACGAACTAGACCTGGTCTACGCGGCCATTTTCCAGAAGGTGATCAAACTGAACTACCTGGACGGCTTCCTGGCGGACATGCAGGCGGCCTTCAAGGACAAGTTTGGCGGCATTCCGTCCTCGGAGCGACTGGGCAACGAGTACGACTTTGATCGGGAGTACCGACGCATGCTCAGTGCCGCCGAGGAGGCATCCGCCAAGCAGGTGAAGGCCCCCAAAGCCATGCGCTCCTACAATGAGTCGCAAAAGTCAAAGAAGACCGTTGCCTCGATGATCCAGGACGACAAGAAGCCGGTGGAGAAGCGGGTCAACATCCAGGAGAGCCCACCGCCCTCCAAGTCGCAACCATCGTCGCCGCCAGAGAACGGGGCCTCCATGGACGATATTATACGGGAGAATCGGCGTAAGCTGCGCGAGAAACTCACGCCCACCAAGAAGACCTCGCCGGGTGATCCCCGGCCCAGCAAGTCGACGGCCTCCGAGAAGGCCGGCAAGAAGCCGCGCGTCTGGGATCTGGGCGGCAACTCCAAGGATGCCGTCATGCTCGATCGCTCCAAGGATACGCCCGAGGATGTGCAGTACCAGAACATCAATAGCGAGGTGAGTGGGGCTCAGGAAGGGGTAAAACTAAAGGGTTAACCAACCAAGTATATAAACATACCAGTTTTTTGAATTACCCATCAAAACTTTCACTTATCCATAACCATATTATCGATTGAGCGACTCACACCCTTCATTTCCGTCTCTTCCCGAATGACAGCTGGTGGGCACTATGCAGGGCGTGATCCGTGACCTGGACGTGGAAAGCGATGACGATGCGGAGAACGAGGAGGAGTCCTCTGAGGAGGAGGAGGAGGAGCTGGTGCAGTCCAAGAAGAACAAACGCGGTGGCCTGCTCTCCTACTTCAAGGGCATCGTGGGCGCCAAAACCATGTCGCTGGCCGATCTGCAACCGGCGCTGGAGAAGATGCGCGACCATTTGATATCAAAGAACGTGGCCACAGAGATTGCGGCCAAGCTGTGCGACTCAGTGGCCACCAGTCTGGATGGCAAGCAGATGGGCACCTTTGACAGCATCGCCAGCCAGGTGAAGGAGGCCCTGACCCAGTCGCTGGTGAGAATCCTCTCGCCGAAGCGGCGCATCGACATCATTCGAGATGCCCTGGAATCGAAGCGTAATGGCCGTCCGTACACGATCATCTTCTGCGGCGTGAATGGCGTGGGCAAGTCCACCAACCTGGCCAAGATCTGCTTCTGGCTGATCGAGAACGATTTCAATGTTTTGATCGCCGCCTGCGATACGTTCCGCGCCGGTGCCGTCGAGCAGCTGCGCACACACACCCGCCACTTGAATGCCCTGCATCCGGCGGCCAAGCACGATGGCCGCAACATGGTGCAGCTGTACGAGAAGGGCTATGGTAAGGATGCGGCTGGCATTGCCATGGAGGCCATCAAGTTCGCCCACGACACTCGGGTGGATGTGGTGCTCGTGGACACTGCGGGACGCATGCAGGACAATGAGCCACTGATGCGCTCGCTGTCCAAGCTGATCAAGGTGAACAACCCGGATCTGGTGCTCTTCGTGGGCGAGGCCCTGGTGGGTAACGAGGCCGTCGACCAGCTGGTCAAGTTCAACCAGTCGCTGGCCGACTACTCCTCCAACGAGAACCCGCACATCATCGACGGCATCGTGCTGACCAAGTTCGACACCATTGACGACAAGGTGGGCGCCGCCATCTCCATGACCTACATCACCGGCCAGCCAATTGTGTTCGTGGGCACGGGCCAGACGTATGCCGACCTCAAGGCCATTAACGTGAACGCTGTGGTCAACTCCCTGATGAAGTAGTACCCTCCATAGGGGAACCACCACCACCTATCCTTTCCACCTCCCTTCAATGCTCTTTGTTTACATCTCCATCTGACCGAATCAAATACAGTGCTTTTGTCTATTTTGTTGTTGAGTAATTGCAATGGTTTGCTTCTGGGAGGGGAGCCATATCAGATAAGTTTAATTAAATGGAATTGTATTTGCTTTTGACCGCCAGAAACATCTAAGTCCTAAACCCTTCAATCGATATGAATTTATGTATCCTATAGTTTACATAGCCTAAGGGGTACCTATAAAGGATATGTAAGGGGATACAGCTTTATTGGAGACGGTTTCTTAGCCAACCCAAAAGAGAACCCTTTTCACATTTTTTCGAATACAAGTTGTTTTTATTTATGTTATAACTCTAGGCGTACAAAGGAGAGAGTAGTGTAGTAGGGGACAATGGGTGGGAAAGATGTAGTGTGCTTAGTCTATTTGTAGAACTCGTGCTCCTGCTCGTCCTTCTTGATATTGTTCTTGTAGCCCTTCTCGAAGTCCTTGGCCAGGACGATGTAGCGGTTCTCGCGCACGGCGTGCATGCCAGCCTCCTGGCAAATGGCGTTTATATCGGCACCAGAGATCTTGTCTGGCCGCGCCACAAACTCCTCGAGATCGACGTCCTCGCTGAGGTTCATCTTCGAGGTGATGGTGGAGAAGACGAGTCGCTTCTGGCGACGATCGGGCAGCGGGAACTCGATCTTTCGATCCAGACGACCAGGACGCAGCAGGGCCGGATCCAGAGTGTCCGCCCTGTTGGTGGCCATGATCACCTTGACATTGGTGGTCTGATCGAAGCCGTCCATCTGGTTGAGCAGCTCCAGCAGGATGCGCTGCACCTCGCGATCGGCGCCCGTTTGGGCATCGAAACGCTTGGTGGCAATGGCATCGATCTCGTCGATGAAGATGATGGCCGGTGCGTTCTCCTTGGCCAGCCTGAAGACGTCGCGCACCATGCGCGGCCCCTCGCCGAGATACTTCTGCACGAACTCCGATCCGACCACGCGGATGAACGAGGCCGTTGTGTGGTGGGCTACCGCCTTGGCCAACATGGTCTTGCCGCATCCTGGCGGGCCGTACATGAGGACACCGCGCGGGGGATCGATACCGATCTGCTTGTACAGCTCGAAGTGGGTCAGTGGCAGCTCGACAGCCTCCCGAATCTCTTGCTTCTGCATGTCCATGCCACCAATGTCCGCATAGCTCACATCGGGCTTCTCATCCGGCTGCAGCATCGAAATGGAGCTATCCGCCTCTGGCGGCAGCACGTCCACCAGGGCGTTGCTGTGCTTGTGCAGGGCCACCGAGGCGGAGGGCTTGAGCAGCTCCCGATCTATGGTGGACAGGATGCGCACATAGTAGTTGGAGCCGGTGGTGGAGCCCACTATGCCTGTGTTCTGATCGACGGCTTCCAGGAACTGGCCGATCACCAGTGGCACCGACTGAATGCGCTTCACCTCCTCCTGGGCGTGGAGGTACTCCTTCTTCAGGTTGCGCTGCTCATCCTTGATGTACTCCTCCTGCACCTCGATGAACTCCAGGGTCTTTTGCAGTTTCTGTGGGGCCCAAGAGGGATTAGCTTTGGCCAAGGGGAGAACCGGACATTGCTTACCTTATAGCGCACGTAGAGATCCTCCATGTCCAGTTCGTCCAGGGAACTGTGTGCATCCTTGGGTTTCAAGTCGGAGAGCTCGTCCTGGTGGGAAAAAGAGGGGGAACAAAGAGATTACTTCGCTGCCCAGGCAACGGAGCCCCAGGTACGCACCTTCTCCGGCATCAGAACGTCCATGTTGTACGGCATTGTTTCCTTCTAGCAGTGAGTTTCAGTTTTTAAGTTTAGTTGCGTTTTCTGCGATAAAATGACTCGACAAAAACAAGCCGGCGGGGTGGCAACGCTATAAGACACACTGCAATCGATAGTCGGCGAATGGTCTATCGGCGAATGGTCTCATGGGTCGGTCGGTCTTCCGATATATGCGTATCAAAACGGAAATTGGCTAAAATGGAGCATTTATCTGTAAAAAATGTTTTTTGTACATGAAATACTTCAAATTATTTTATATAATCCTCCCTTGAAATAGACCGTCATTCTTTGATAAAAAAGTATCGATAGTTTAATTTTTGAATAACAAAATAGATTTTCAATAATTAGTTTCAATAAGAAATTAATTTTGTGACAGCCAATATTAACCAATTTTGTTTAATGCGTATTACTTTACACAACAGAACCAATATCAAATATGTTTTAATTAAAAATAAACGTGTATACTCTGCGGGCTCTGCAGTTTTTAATTTTGAAAAGGCTTAGTTACTTGCTTAAATTGCTAATCAGAAAAAGTACTTTTTGTATTTTTATATTTACAAATCGATAGAACTTGATATTTGTGGAAATACACATTTACTGTATACGATAGGATTTAATTATAATTTAAATTTAAAGTACAAATTAGGGGAAATAGTTGTCCTAAAAGCCTGAAGTACAAATAAGTGTGAATAATTAGCAAGAAAGTCAAATTAACTAGGGTTTTAATTAAGAAAGCAACCAAAATGTTTCGAAACAAGCAGTCACGTTATCGCACCTATCGATAGATCGAGCGCCTGCCCCAAGTGTGTACACACTGGCCAGCCCGACCATTTTGACGCGATTTCGATTTCCCATAAGAAAAAAAGAAACACACATTTAACTCGGGCCGTTGTGTTGTGTGCGTGCGAACGAACCAAATATATACACACACGAGCTGGAGGACAGTGAAATCGAATTAGTGTTTATATGGCGCATTGATGGCTGATAATGCCGCCGCCGCCGCCGAAAAATCGTTTGGCCATCGTTAGTATCAGAAACAGAACGAGTGCAAGTGCGAGTGCGAAAACGAAAACGAAAACGAGTGCGATTGCGATTGCCAGAAAGTATCGTCGTCGTCGTCGTCGTCCTGCTGCCCTGCCCCGCCCCCTCTGCCGCCGCCGCCGCCCCCTCTGCGCCGTACGCACGCATCGATTTGGGCTAAACGTTAGATACCTCCTAACGCAGTTGTTAGGGTGGAAAGAAAGGCCAGGGAAAAAAATAACACACTGTAACAGCAATACTGATACTGCAATGCCCTGCTGCCGCTGATCCCATCCGGATCCGGATCCGGTCCTGGTCTGCAAATAGGAGAACAGAAAAAAAAAATAGACGGCCAGAGAGCTCCACACAAATCCAAATCCCGGAAAAGTGCAATACAATACAATACAAATATACAAATACAACCACGAAAACGCAACGAAAAAGGCAGGAGAGACAAGAGTTATCAACTAAAGTCCAAGTGGAAAGTGAAGAGTGGTAATAATAATAATGCTATAGGCCAAAACAGTAACCGATAACAGTAGATAAATCCACCCGAGGAGTCGAAAATCGAAAATGTTTATTGTATAATTTCCAATTGAGCAGGTGTGCGTGCGTGCGCGTATGTGTGTGTGTGCGTTTGCATGTGCGTGTGAGTAGTTTTTGTTTTTCGCTGCTTCTTCTTGCGGTTTATTTGTCAACAAAAAGAAGAAGGAAGTAATAAGCAGTGCTGCCTCTGCCTAATATTGTTGTCCGCCTCGCTTGCCCTGCTTGCAGGAGTGACGAAGCAGTGAACTTGTGCAACGAACCGACGAGGACGACGACCCAGTGGCCTCCACATGAAGACCATGTCGCGCTTCGGCCTGCGCCGCGGCTTCAAGTTCTCGGAGGAGCAGGTCAATGGCAAGAACTCAATCCCAGCTGCCTCGGCCTCGGCTGCTGCCACTGCCACCGCGCCCAATCCCCGCAAGAAACGGCAGCCCAGGCAGACAGACGTGGAGGCGGACGCCGAGCAGGAGCAGGACTTGGATGCACACGAAGATCCAGCCGAACCGGATGCCGATCATGAACCCATCTCGCTGATCTGCAGCCTGCCGCTGGAGCGGCTGCCCCGCCTGGTGGAGAAGCTGCATCAGCTGACGGAGGAACGGGAGAGGGAACGCGAGCGAGAACGGGAGCGGGACGAGGCCGCCAGCCTGGTTGGGGGCCACTCGAAGGTCCTGTGTCTGTACTGTGATAGGAAGTTCGCCTCCGCCAAGCTGCAGGCCAAGCATGTGGACAAGTTCCACACCGAGCGGCAGGAGCGACGCTGCAGCGGCCGTTCCACCAGCTCCAATTCCCATCCCGCGGGAGGCTTCCCCGGCTGCCAGTGGTGTGGCCAGCAGGCCGCCCACCGTGGCCGCCAGGCGACGCCTCCCCAGATCTGCCTGCCGGCCAAGCATCTGGAGCAGCTGTTCCAGCACCTCAGCGAACAGCATGCGGACAAGTACTTCGGCTGCCAGCCGTGTCGCCTGCGCTTCCAGGACGCGGACCATTTGACGGGACACCAGCGACAGCAGCATCCGCAGCAGCATCCCGAGGATTCGCATGCCTCCTCCAAGCCCGGACTGATGGGCGCCGACGAGCCGGTGCTCTTTCGCCTGGGGCTAACCCAGAACAGGCTACCCAGTCATCGGAATCGCAATCAGCGCAAGGAGGAGGAGCCGCCGCCCCTGGCCACGCCCAGCTCCGGGAAATCCCGGAGCAGCAGCCGGGCGGCGGCGCAGCGGCAACAGCATCATCATCAGCAGCCGCCATCGCAGCAGGCCACAACGGCTGGAGGCCAGGGTTTGCAGGCGCAGGAGGCTGTCAATCCGGATGCTGTCTTCCGGCTGCCAGCCAGCTTGGCCTGCGTCTCCTCCTCCTCGTCGTCCTTCTCCGCCGCCAACTCAGTGTTCGATGACAAGTTCTACAAGGATGTGGTCTTCAATGTGCGCCACAACCTTCAGAATCACCTCGACGGCCGGCTGTTGACATCCCCATCATCATCCTCATCGTCATCGTCCGCATCCCAGAAGCCGGAGCTCATCATGCTGCACGGACCAAGTCAGCTGGGACCCGGCGGCGCCTCCTACCCCACGCTATTGACCGCCGAGCAGTTTGGCGGCACGGGGGAACTCCTGCCGCTGGCCAAGTTCCGCCGGAGACCGCACACCAAGCACAGCTGGAAATGGAAATGGGACTACGTGAAGAAGTTTACGCTGATCAACGAGGGCGGGCGGCTGGTGAAGAAACTGAAGCAGCCCAACTTCATGGGACTGCGCGATCTCTCCAAGCTGGACATGTGGACGCAGCTGACGATGCGCCAGAAGCACGATCTCTCCCTCTCGCTGGCGGAGGAGCAGAACCAGGAGCAGCGCCGCCTGCTGGAGCAGCTCAATTTGATATTGGAACGCCGCCTGCTGCCGCACATCATCCTGGAGCAGAACGAGCAGGCGGTGATCAAGTGCGAAAACGACGAGGAGGATGATGGTCTGGATGCGCATCATCATCCTGGAGATGATCTGCTGCCGCAGACGTTTGCCGACGAGAGTTTCCTCTCCCTGCTGCAGCTACAGCCGAGAACCGGGACCAGCGATCGGGATCAGGAGAGAGATCGGGAAAGGGATAGAGAGCAGGAGCGGATCAGGAACCGAAGGGCTGTCGTGCTCAGCGGCGAGTGGGCACGACCACGCCTCTATCTGTGCATCTGCTGCGGCGCCAAGTTCGACCAGCGGAAGTCGCTGGAGGAGCACAAGACCTTCCGCCACTCGCACATCTACGCCACGCACTACGAGGTCGTGGGTCGGGAACTGCTGGCGGGAAATCTGCTGCGCCACCTCTTTATCCCCAAGCGGGCGCTGGGACGCTTTGCCGCCGCGAGCAACTGCATCCGCTGGCCGCAGATTGGTCCGGCCTCAGCGCATCAACCCAAGCTGGAGCAGGAGCGCGTTCAGCCGGAGGAGGAGACCAGGTCGTCGGCTTCCTCGCGCTCTTCGTACGAGGTGTCCACACCCACTCCGCTGTCGGGACTGGAGCAGCAGCAACCATCTCCTGCCTCGGGGTCCGGCAATGCGTCTTCGTCGTCCTCCTGCTCGCCTAGCTCATCATCCGCCTCTACCCTGATGTCCACCGCCCCCACCTCGATGTCCCACTCCACCTGCACCTCCTCCGCTGCGACTACAACGCTTTCCTCCACCTCGTCCGCTCCTTCCAGCTGCACCAAGTGTGGTCGCAAGTGCAGCGGACTCATGGATCTCTATCGACACATGCTGGACTGCTCCGGCGACTATGTGTGGTCGCTGGCCAAGAAGCGCAAGTATCGCTACTACTGCGGCACCAAGAAGCGACGTGCCTTCTCCAAGAAGCCGCTCAAGCAGCTCTCCGCCCGCAAGAAGGAGAAGCTGGAGGTGGAGGAGGGAGCCGGCGAAGGCGAAGCCGAGGGAGAGGTCGATGGCGAGGCGGAGGGCGAGGAGAGCGGCTCCAGTTCATCCAAGTTGAAGAACTCGCCGCGCCAAAGGCCCAGCGATGGTAAGAGTGCTCCATCATTATTCTTATAATATATTAATATTTATCTTCCCCCTTCCAGCTGAATCCATTCGGAAGATGCTGGAGAACCTGCCCGCCAAGCGCATCTGCAAGAAGATCTTCCCCGTGGACAACAAGGCCAAGCGCAAGGCGAAGAACAAGGCCAAGGCCAAGTCTATGGCCAAGTCGCTGGTCAAGTCGAAGTCCAAGCAGCAGCGGAGCAGCACCAAGAGAATCTACAATCAGCACCTGCTGCGCACCACGAGATCCCGATCGAGATCCTCGGTGGTGGCCACAGGCTCCTCGGCCGCCGCTGTTGCCGCCCAGCAGCAGCGCAGTCGCCGCAAGCAGAAGCACCAACAGCAGCAGCAAAAGGCCAAGCTCGACAAGGCCAAATCTCCGCCAGAGGCTCAGCCGGCTGCCTCCGAATCGGAGGAATTGCCAGTCAAACCAGAGGCAAAAGCGCCCGTACCCGCACCCACAGTCACTGCCAAGTCACGATCTCCCGCTGAGGAAAAGCCTTCCCTGCGGTTGGAGCTGCCACTCACACTTCCGGAATCAGCTGCTCCACCCGCCACCGTTCAGGAATCGGAGCCCGCCTCACCCACTTCCAGCAAGCAGCTAATGCCCACACCGCCCACAACACCTGCGCCGGCGACCAAATCCCCGCCAGCCGCAGCTGTTGCTCCCTCCTTCTCCGCCAGCACTCGGCTGGCAACGCCCAATTCGACTGTGAAGCGCAGCAAGAGGATTAGCGACTGCATTGCCATGCTCACGGGCAAACTGGAGGAGAAACTCAAGACAGAGCAAGTGCCACCGCCTACGCCGTTGGAAAGGGACAAGGAGAAGGAGAAGGAGAAACTGGAGCCGGCTAGGCCGATGGAAAAGGAGGACAAGACACCAAAACTGGTGGACTCACCTGCAGCGCCTCCTCATGCCGCTAACAAGGAGCGAGTGCAGCCAAAGACGCCCAAACGCAAGGCAGTGTCGCGGCGAATCATCAAAGTGGATGCCACACCGGAGCCAGTGGTGGAGTCGGTACAGGGGCTGGCAGAAGCAGTGGCCATTCCAGCTCCAGTTCCAGTAGCAGTACCAGTTCCGCCTCCTGCAGCTGCTCCTCCCACTGTGGTTCCAGCTCTGCCACCTCCAGTGTTTAGCAGCATGCCAGTGCCTGCGCCAGCTCCCGTTCCTGCTCTCCCGGCAGTCGTGGAACCAGCTCCTCTACCAGTCGTTGCACCTGTTCCTCCTCCGCCAGTCGTTGCACCTGCTCCTCCTCCGCCAGTCGCTGCCGTGGCCCATCCACCACCGAGGCGCACGCCCACCAAGGCGGCGGCCAAACAGATGGCTGCCCCACCACCGAAACCAGCCTCGTTGGCCGCCCTTAAGCAGTATCCTCCGATGGAACCACAGCTGGCCGTGGTGCCGCCTCCTAATCCGGCACCTCTGCCACTCCCTGTGCCCGTGGCCATGCCGATGGGAATGCCAGCTCCACTGGCGGTCGGTCCAGTGCCTGTGAACGTCAACATGCTTGCCAAGCTGCCACTGTATATGCCACAGCTGCAGGCGAATCCCAATACAAATCCCAATCCAGCACCGACCACAATGTTCATGATGGATCATCAACCCTTGAACTTGACTAGTCAGCGAGGAGTGCTTCAAAAGCCCATGATAAGTGGCACTACGGGGGATCCCGGACTCGTGGGACTGCAGCATCATCGCTCGGGAGGAATGCCACCCAGGCGGCAAACGATCTGCGGATTCGAGGCAAGAAACTTGATTGGTTTGGACATTGACATGGAGCCGTTGGATCTTTCGAAGAAGTCGAGCAGGAAGCCTTCGCCGGTGCCGCCGCCAAGGATGCAGCAAGAGCTGCCGATGCCAATGGTTCCACTGCCTTTGGTGACAGGAGCAAGTGCAATGCCACCTCAGAATCAAGCTCAGCCAGGAGGAACTCTTCCGACGGCCGGTGGTGCTCCGATTCCTTGCCAGCTGGCCATGCCAGGCGGAATTCCCGCTCCACTGGCCTCGCACTATTACTCCAACCTGGATCTGCTCAAGATCCCGCAGGTGCGCAATCCCGGCACTGGCGTGGTGGTGCCCTCCAGTGGTCCACCACCTGTTTCGGTGTCCTCATCATCGGTCGCCCTGCCCGTACATCCCGTTAAGAGTTCGGGTGGCAAAAAGCGCTCTCTGGAGGGAACAGGCAACTCCAAAAAGGATCACGGAAAGGGCCAGACCAAGGTGTGTCCCCGCATGGATGAGGTGGTCAACAACCATATCGATGATGCCATCAATTCGGTAATTATGGCTGTCCAGGCGAGTTTGCCGGACGACGATGAGGAGGAAGAGCTGGCCAAAAAGGAAAAGGAAAGAGAGAGGGAACGAGAAAGGGAAAGGGAGAAGGAGAAGCTGGAGGAAGCGCTGCCCAAGCCGAGCAACTGCATCTTGGCGTTGCAGCCTCCTGCGGTATTACTCCCATCACCAGCCCTGGATAAAGTACCACCTGTAAATGCGATTCCTTCGGTGGTTATTCCTCCGGCTGCCCTTGTGCCATTGACTCCGGTCCCGCAGCCTGTGCCTACCAAGAATTTGACGCCCAAGAAGCGTTCCATGCGCTCGCGAACCATCGACTGTCGCTCTGCCCTGCTCGCCATGGACGAGACTTTGCCGGTGGCTCCACTGCAGCAGTGCCTCCCGCTGCCGGTGAATGGAGATGCTAGCATGGCCAAAGAAGAGATTCCCCGACTGCCAGATATAATACCAGCTCCAGTTCCAGTTCCAGTTCCTGTTCCAGCTGCTGTGGTGCCCCAACCACCCATCCTAGTTGAAGGTCCAGTAATGAGTCTTAGGGAGATGAAGCCGGAAGCGATCCAGCTGGCCACCGATCCGACGCCCATTCCTGCCGCATCTCCTCCACCCGTGGAGCAGCAGTCTCCGGAATCCCCTGATCCTGTACCAAGGCCCGAGACGCCTGTGCCTGCACCTGTGCCCGTCTCCGTCATTTCGGTGGCGCCCGCCTTGCCGCTGCCACCGCGCACTACCACGCCCCCGCCCACCACCATGGCGGAAACGAACTGCAGCTCCCTGATGGAAGAGCACAGCAGCAACCTGAACAACAACACCTCCTCGGGTTTCCACAGTCTGGCCCAGTCGGAGCAGCCGATGCCAACGGCAGCCACGACGCCTGCCGAGGAACCTCCTCCGGCCAAGGAGGAGGAGGAGCTGCTGCCGGCCAAGAAAAAGCAGCGTCGCCGGCGAAAGAACGAACTGGCGGCCATTGTGGCCGATCAGCTGCTGGAGAGCTTCAAGATCGACAATGCGCGCAGGGATAACCTCAAGAAGCTGGAGAATCTGGCTTACGAAAAGAGCGAGGACCTGCTGCTCACCGGGATGCTGCTCATGTCCAGCACCAAGCGCAATGCGGCACTGGGACCTTCCTCCGCTGCCGCCGCGAAGCTGAAGAAGGAGGCCGAGGCGGTGGCAGAGTCGCCAGCCAATCCTCCAGGGCGCGGCCGGCCAAAGCGTCGCCAGAGTTGCTACTATCGCCGCGGAAAGGCAGGTGGAGAAGGAAGAGGAGGAGGAGTCGCTGGAAAGGCCACCAATGAAAACATTAGTCAGCTGAAGTCTTCGCTGGAGTCCTTCTCCATTGGTATCGAGAAGCAGCTGCTGGCCAAGGAGGCCAGGGAGGCCAAGGACTCGCAGCCGACGAGTGGAGCTGGTGGCCTGTCCCAGCCACCAGTCAGTTCCATCCTGCGCCCGAGCATCCTCAGCAGCGCCGTGGCCAGGGATCATCATCATCAGCAGCAACAATCAAAGCAGAAGGAGCAGCAGCTGGAGAAGCAGGATCAAACCGCCCCGGCGGCCACTTTCAGTCGTGATCCACGGCTGAATAAGAACATACACAAGGAGCAGCAGGTGGAGCACAAGCAGCCACCCAGGGAGCAGCCGGCGCCTACGACGAACGAGAATGCCGAGGAGGAGGACAACTACCTCACGGAGATTGCCAAGAACGTGAACGAGAAGATCATGTCGGCCACCACGAACGAGGACTTTGAGTTCGCCCACGACGAGTTCGACGGCGAGGGAGATCCCGACCAGGATCAGGACCAGGACAAGTACTACCGACCGCCCACCTCGATGAGCGTGCGCAGTGCTCCGAATCTGAACGATGAGCACTCGAACTTCGGCTCCATGTGCGACGACAACACGAATACCGAGGTGATGGACATGGATCTGGACGACGAGATGAGTGTGTACACTAGTTACTCCCAGGATCTGGGACGCGGCGGTCGCGGTCGTCGGCGGAGGAGGCGAAGAAGCGTGCTGCTCACGCGACGTCCCAAGAAACGGACGCAGCGCAGCGAACTGGATGCCGAGAAGTACGGTTGCAAGCTGTGCGGCAAGAGCTTCTTCACCGCCACATCCCTGTCCAAGCACAACATGACCCTGGCCCACGTGTCCAAGGTGTCTGCCCAGGAGTACCTGCAGTCGCAGACGGCTCCGTCCAGTCCGCAGGATTCGCACCACGATCTGGACGACAAGAGGGAGCGGCGGGAGAACGAGGTAGCCAGCAAGGTTCAGCGTCAGGAGGAGCAGCCGCCCACACCAGCAGCTCCACAGCAGATGAGAGCCTCGGTGCTAATGGTGCCCTCGCAGATGGCCCACCAGGAAAGAGAACGGGAGAAGGAGAGGGAAAAGGAGCGGGAGCGGGAGCTGCAGATGAGGGAGGAGCAGGAGATGGCCCGTCTGCAGAGGGAGCAGGATCACCATCACCAGCAGCTGCAACAGCAGCAGCAGCAGGAGCAAGTTCATCATTTGATTACAGAGGCAAGCCTGCGGCTGCACGACAACCAGCACAGTCCCACAGCTCCAACCGCCTCCCGTCTCAATCTCAATCCCGACGAGCGGCTCTTCTACGAGTGCTGCAACATCTTGAAGAGCGCCGAGACGCCGCGCACACATCCTGGCGGCGGAGCAGGTCCAGCCGCCACATCCGTGATAGTGACGGCGGGCAGAAAGCAGCCGCCACCGCCTCCAGCCTCGCCCTCGCCGTCTCGCTCATCCTCGCTGCCGCCACCGGCTTCGCCATCGCCATCGCTTCCACCGCCTGGCTCTCCGTCGCTTTCCCTGCCTCCGCCGGCCTCGCCATCGCCGTCGCCCTCACCGCCGCCACTCGCAGAAGCTCGTCATCATGCTCCAGCTCCAGCGCCTGTTCCAGCTCCTCCCCAGCCGGCGCCTGCGGTGTGCCACCAGCCGGTCATCCAACAGCTGTTCCGCAACCCGCCCGCAGTCACGCCCACCACCACGCCCACGTAAGATTCCACTTAACCCACTTTCAGTCGAGCTTCTCCATGAGATATCCTTGAAAATATATGCATGTTTCGGATATCTTTTGCTGTGGAAACTGGACCACAAGGTTCTAAGCTATGCACTTATCCATGCAACCTCTTTTTTCCAGCAATCACAACCGGCTCTCGCCCAGCTACTCGGCGGTGTCCCAGTTCTCGGCCACCACCACGTCCCGCTTCAAGACCAAGGCCGCCATGAAGGGCTACGAGAACGTGAACATGCAGCTGGACATGCCGGAGCTGGCCAAGTCAGGCCGGGGTGTCTGCAAACTGACCGAATTGGCGGACATTGCGCTGGGCAGCGAGAAGCCCGGCGGCGACTTTCTGCCCCACCTGCCACCAACACCGGCGGCTCCTGCGGTGCCGGCTGCTTTACAGCCGGCCATCCAACAGACCCCTACGCCCACGGGCACGCCCACAGTGACGCCAACGGGGCCAATGGAGCAGCAGCAGAGCTCCACCTCTTCGAAGACGATCATGCACGCCTCCATCATCAAGGCGGCGGCGGGCGTGGCCAGTTCGGCGACCCTGCCGCCAGCCTCCGGAAGGATTATCATTCCCGAGCGACCGTTCAAGAACATTGGGCTGGAGGAGAAGGCTCCGATAACCTTCCAGAAGCCCAAGACGTGCGTGAATCTACTGCAGGAGCAGGACAACAACAGCGTCTCTACGGCCAGTTACTCCGACCGTGATGATTATGATTTCGGGACTCTAAGTTGTGATGGCGATGTGGATCCAGAGCCGGAGCCAGAGGTCAGAGCAGGCGTCGCCGCTGGAAGAGGAGTCCTGCCGCAGGGAGCCGCAGTCGGAGCTCGAGCCGTGTCGACGTCCAGCTCGTCGTCCTCCTCTTCCTCCTCGGCGGATAACAGCAGGAGTGGCAGCCGGAGCAGCAGCAGCAGCTCCAGTCGAGCCACGGCCAAAACATTCGAGAACAAGTCGCTGATCATGGGCAGGATTTTCAAGCACGCCAGCAGCGCCAAGGCCACACCAGTGATGGCCACTTCGGCGGCCATGATGCCGGGTCCCAGTGTGGTGCCTGGCATGGCCAAGATCAAGGCGCTGCCCAAGAACCAAGCGAATCTCGACCAGATCTTCGATGAACTGCGTGGCGGTGGTGGAGCGGCCAAGTCGTCGGAAGTGGAGGCATCTTCTGCAGCTCTCCAGCAGGAGAGCTGGGAGCGGCATCATCTGCCGCAGCAGCAGACGCAGCCACACCACCACCACCATCAGCAGCAGCATCATCAACACAGCCATCACCACCACCACCATCATCATCATCACCAGGTGGAACCCATGGCGGCGCCAGCAGCACCGGCAGCGCCGGCGGCCATGCCAGCGCCCAGTGCCTTACCACCTGGCCGAAAACCGAAGAACTCCACGGGCAACACAGCCAAGAAGGCCACCAAATCCACACCGGCCAAGGCAAAGGCCAAATCAAAGGTGGCCGCCGTTGCATCTGGATCCTCATCATCCAACCGCAAGCCCCGCAAGGATCTGACCAAACTGCAGTCCGAGCTGGGCATGAGTCACGAAGAGATCGAGCAGCTGATCGACGAGGGACAGCGCAAGTCAAAGCGTCGCTGTGCCACCAACCGGCCCAAGAAGCTGGTGGAGACCTGGAGCTCCGACGAGTACGAGGAGTTCCTCTCGACCAAGGACATCATAGCGCTGATCGAGCAAAAGGAGCAGCAGGAACAGCGGCGCAAGCGGAAGACCAGCGAGGCAAACACTCAGCCAGAGCAAGTGGCTCCACCGGTGGCCAGCAAGAAGGCCCAGACGCCTCAGGCGCCGCCGGCTAAGCGAAAGAACCGCGCTGGCGAAAAGAAGCAAGCGCCGGCTCCAAGCGAAGTAGAGCAACCAAAGCCGCGGGCTAGGCAAAGGAACCAGCAACAGCTGCCCCCTGCGCCACCAGCACCTCTGCCTCCTGTTGTCAACGCACCTCCTCCGCCTCAACCAGAAGTGGCGGCGCCTCCTGCCAGGGGAAAATCCAAAGCAGCAGCCAAGAGTAGAACGCCAGCGAACAAGGCAACCAACAACCGCAAAAAGCGTGCCAATGAAAAGCTGAAAACGCCACAAACCAGGGAGGATGAAGATGAGGAAAAGGCGGAGGCGGATGTGGATGTGGAGCCACCAACCAGGACACGCAGCTCTAGGCAGCAGCCCAAGGGCAAGGTTGAACAGGAGGCCGAACCAGCAGCACCACCACCACCACCGCCACCATCACTGCCGGCAGCTCCGCAGGAACCGCAAAAGGAGCGGATCAAGGCGCGCTACAGCAATCAGCAGCATGTGCCGCCGGCACCTCATCCCCGGAGCAGCTCCGTCGCCACCACCAGCAGCACCACCAATAACAACAACAACAGCAGCAGTAGCAACAAGAATCTAAAGACCAAGCGGAGATCACAGAACAGCCGCCAATCGCCGGCGCGAAGAAAGAGGCCAGCGAGCGAAAAGCAGCTATACTACTGGAGCAGCTCCAGTGACGATGAGTTTGGACGCCTAGACGACGAGGGCGAGGCGGCCGACGGGGGATCCCGCCAAGGAGCAGGCAGCGAGCAGAGGGAGGGGAATCGAATGGAGCTGGAGCCGGAGGAGGCGTCCCCCTCGCCCGGCAAGCACTTCGAGGAGAACGAGCCGTACCAGAAGCACGGCTGGATCGTAGGCGATTCGCACAAGAAGCTTGTGAAGCTGCTGGCCATAGCCAAGGGCAGTAAGAAGGTGGACAACTGCGGTGTCAAACGGCGCACGCCCAAGCGCAAGTGCTAGAACTGGGCGGGGGAGAAGCACCAGCTGGAGGAGGAGGAGGAGGAGGACAGCCTCCTCCTGCCGGAGGACAAGTCATAGCCATAGGCCTCGAGGGCGGAGTCGGCGCGGGCAGCCGACGACCCATCGCCGCCATCGATCACATACGTACTGCCATTGTGTCATCGTTAATCGTTAACGCCGGCGCCAGGAGGGGATCACCCCAGTCGTCCTCCTGGCCCATGGTACCCATTAACCGTATGCGGAGTATATGCAACATATTTTTCTTTTTCTTTTAAACATCTAAGCGTTACATTATTTAGGTTTTTTTTTATTAAATGTATTTATAATTAATAAACAAAACAAACAAAAAATCGAAAAAGCAACAAATATAAATTTGAGCACAATTAAACCAAGCATCTTTTGATTTTGTAGATAAAGATAGTAACCAAAAGAAAAGTAATTCCAGGGGTTTCCTCAATTTAACTTCTGTTTTTATTTTATATTTTACAACTAACGGTATCTTTACATATATAACATGTAAAAAAAATAGAGTTAAGGAATAGTTAAAAAAAACGTAGTACACAATGGAAGCAACGACGACGTGGCGTAGCGAACGCAGGCGTCTCGGCGAGCTCACATCCAGTCCATGGTTGTTGTTGATGATGTTTCTGCTTTTGCCAAAGGATAAATGCGAAGCAAAACAAGGTTCCATCAAGGATTAGAATGTGTGTGTGTGTGTATGGGAGTCAAAAGAGGTGTGAATCTGGCTGGATGCACCGATGTAAGAGATATTGGTGGGTCTCGCCTCGACAGCTGACTGGTATTGTTGGTGGTGGTGGGGATGATGATCTGCGTTCGCTGGCCTCCTCTCTGCGTCGTCGTTCCCTTCCATCTAAGCCATGTTGGCACCGATCCTTCATCTCTCTCTCTGTGTGTGTGTGTGTCTGTTTCAAGTGTGGTGGCTTACATCATGCCACCCATGCCGCCCATGCCTCCCATGCCGCCCATTCCACCCATGCCGGGCATGCCGCCGGCACCACCATCCTCCTTGGGGAGCTCGGTCACCACAGCCTCGGCGGTGGTCAGCAGAGAGGCCACACCGGAGGCGTCCGTGATGGCGGTGCGCACCACCTTGGTAGGATCGATGATGCCCTTCTCGATCAGGTTGCCGTACTCGCCCTTCAGCGCATCGTAGCCGTAGTCACCGCTCTGGGTCTCCACCTTGGCCACCACCATGGCGCCATCAACGCCAGCGTTCTTGGCAATCGTCATGCAGGGCATGCGCAGGGCACGACGGACAATCTCAACGCCAAGGTTCTGGGGGGATAATCACGATTCAATACAGATTACCCAACCAAAAAGCAGACTCATCTTACCTGGTCCTCGTTGGAGGTCTTCACACCATCCAACTTCTCAATGCAGCGCAGCAGAGCGGTGCCGCCTCCGGGAACGATTCCCTCTTCGACGGCCGCACGGGTGGCGTTCAGGGCATCGTGGACGCGATCCTTCTTCTCGTTGACCTCCACCTCGCTGGAGCCGCCGACGCGCAGCAGGGCAACGCCCGAGGCCAAACGGGCCAGGCGCTCCTGCAGCTTCTCCTTCTCGTACTCGGAGGTGGTGTCTTCAATTTGCTCCTTGATCTGGTTGGCGCGACGCAGCACATCCTCCTTCTTGCCCTTGCCCTTCAGCAGCAGGGTGTCGTCCTTGGTGATCACAACCTCACCAACCTGTCCCAAGTCGCTGACCTTAACATCCTCCAGCTTGACGAGATCAGCATCATCGCCGAAGACAATGCCGCCGGAGGCGATGGCCATGTCGGTGAGGGTGCTCTTGCGGTTGTCACCGAATCCGGGAGCCTTGACGGCAGCCACCTGCAGGCCAATCTTCAGACGGTTCACCACCAGGGTGCTCAGGGCCTCGCCATCGATGTCCTCGGCAATGATCACGAGTGGCTTGCGCTGGGCATTGGCCAGCTCCAGAGCGGGAATGATGCTCTGCACCGACGAGATCTTCTTCTCGGACAGCAGGAGCAGGGCATCCTGGAACTCCACCTTAGCGCCCTTCGAGGAGTTGATGAAGTAGGGGGAAATGTAACCGCGGTCGAACTTCATGCCTTCGATCACCTCCAGCTCATCGTTGAGGGTCTTGCCATCCTTGACGGTGATGACGCCATCGCGTCCCACCTTCTTCATGGCCTCGCTGATCAGATTGCCGATGGCCTGGTCACCGTTGGCCGAGATGGTGGCCACCTGGGCGATCTCCTCGGGCGTCTTCACGGGGCGCGACATGGCCTTCAGGTTGTCCTTAACCGTCTCAACGGCCAGCATGACACCGCGACGAATCTCGACGGGATTGGCGCCCTTCGAGATCTTCTCGAAGCCCTCCTTGGCAATGGCGCGGGCCAGAACGGTGGCCGTGGTGGTGCCATCGCCAGCCTCCTCATTGGTATTGTTGGCCACATCCTGGACCAGCTTGGCGCCAATGTTCTGGAACTTGTCCTTCAGCTCAATGGACTTGGCCACGGTGACGCCGTCCTTGGTGATCTTGGGCGAGCCCCACGACTGCTCGATGATGACGTTGCGACCCTTGGGTCCCATGGTCACCGCCACGGCATCGGCCAGCACATCGACGCCCTGGAGCATCATGGCGCGCACCTCAGGACCGAATCTTACGTCCTTGGCATAGCCGCGCATGGCCAGCTGGCGGCTGATGGAGGTGCGAGCAAGCGAAACTGGCAAACGGAACATCTGTTGGAAGAGAGAGAGGTGGACTAAGATTAGTCAAGATTATCGGTTTGGGCGGGGGGCCACGCAGCACGTGCTACGGCCAAGAGAGCCCCCAAGATGCGGTGTCTTCGCGTTGTTTACCCCGTAATTTCTCAGTTGATAAGCGAGTGCGCCACGCGGGTCAAAGTACAGAGATGATTTTTGACCTTTTTTTAATGTGAAAATTTGGAAAAAACAAGTCAGAGCAAATGAAGTTCTACACACAGACTGATTGAATTGACTGAAAAACATAACTAGAGGGATTGTGACATTTATGACATAAAATTTCAAGGCACACTTAGATAACTAAATTTTTTTAAAAGATGATGTAAAGACAAGACATTTTTGGAAATTACATAAATGTATGTCACAATGTTGCCTAAATTATGGAATTACTTGTTAAAAAAAAATTTATCATAATTTTAGATTAGATAAATCTGAAATATAATGCGATTTAATAGAACTATTGTGAATCCATTTGTATATTGCTACATGCCAAACATAATAATTAAATTATTTTCTTTAATCTCTTACATTACGCACGTGGATAAGATAATATAATTAACTCTTGAATAATAAGATCATATAAAGTTATCATAAAATATTAATAAGCAAAGACATTTTTAAAAAATTACATAAGCCATTGATTAAACATGTTTTTATTGATAAGAGTGTATTATAATTTATCAATTTGTAAACACATATTATTTTATTATCAGCTATAATGATGAAACTTTTAAACAGGTAGGTTAAACATCAAGTATTCATAAAGATGAAAAAAAAAAAGTTTTTTGGAATGTTTCCACTGTTTTGGAAATCTAATCGTTAGATCATCGAGGCTCCACCGTACCGGCCAGGCCCCTTCCAGTGCCCTCGCCCCCCTGGAATTCATAACAAAGGCATCGCGGCACCGAGCGTTCCAGAAGAAACGATTTATGTAACCAGTCGGGGGAAAATTAGATACCCCCAAAATCAGAGGGCCTGTTATTCAATAAGCCCAAGATTTCCGCGGGGGGAGAGGAGGGGAAGGAAAATAAAAGAAAAGGGCGAGAGCAAGCAGCACATGCAATGCCAAGGGGAAATGTGAAATCGCCTTCGGTAGCCGGCAAGCAGTGGAAAACATGTGCACTTTCCCAACTAACTTTTTCCTGGCTTTCCAGTGTGCGTATGTGTGTGCTTAGGGTCGCTTAATGAAATTAAAGATTTAACAATCTATCAATAAGCAAAATTCGCTTACTTTCCAGTAATCAATCAGCAGAACATTCTGGAAACACGATTTGCCGGCTATTCGCTAGATTGTTCGCTCTTATATAATCGCCAATCAGACACACACACACGCACATAAACTTGGAATGCAGGCGCGGAAAACTAGATTTTTGCTATTGGATAAAATTAAAAAACTTACTGTGAATAAAACTGGTACTGCGATATATTAACAAGACAGTTGAACTATTAGTCCCGATTCTATTTGATGTGAAACAACAAGCTCACTTCACTTCAGTTTTGACTTGCTTCGAAATGTGCGGTTCCTAACCTTAATGTGGATTAGAGGTGGCAGCATCGGTGGAAACATCGATGTTTTTGTAAACATCGATATTTGCCCTGGCGCGATATATGTATCGATATATGTTATCGGGCTTAACGCAGTTTTGAGCATTTATATTCTAATTAAATTAAATTTAACTAAATTTTTTGAATTTGAAGTGAGACTGAATTTAACGAAAAAAAGATAAATATAGATATGTATATTTTTAATTTTATTATCGGCTTGCTTTGTATTGTAAATTAGCCCAACCTTAAAACTAGCCAAATAAGTACTCAACCCACATGAATTCTACTGCGTTTAAATTACATAAATTTGCATTTAAAGCGCCGCCCCACACATTTTATTATTATTACGGCGAAAAGCGATTAAGTGTTGCGTAAAACTTTTAGGAAATATAGGTAATCGAATATAGTTTCGAATGGAGATGGCCTAAAAATTAAAAGATTGGTGTGTGTACGAGCTATGCCGCAAGCTCTTGAAATCTCATGAAAATGGGTTAAAATCTTGGCTGCCGCTAAAAAATAAAGTTTAATGTAGAATATTAGAAAATTCAACGACAAAATCATTGGGGTATCCCACTTCTAAAGCAGGATCCAGTATCTCAAGTTATGGAATCTAGACGAGCAGTTTTTGGTTCCATTCTGACAGCCATTGGAAATTTGGAAAAATCGAACACGAAAATGGGCTAAAATTTTGACCCTCTTTTAATATTATTATTTTCATGTTGAGTATTAGAGAATTCAACCACAAACTCATAGAGGTATCCAACGTCTTAATCGGGATACAATAACTCAAGTTATGGAATCTGGAAGTGCAGTTTTGGGGTCCCATACTAAAACTCATTAGAAATACGGAAAAAAGTAACATGAAAACGGGCTAAAAATGTGACCCTCTCTAAAAAGATAAATTGTAATGTAGAATATTAGGGAATTCAACCACAAACTCATAGAGGTATCCCACGTCTAAATCGGGATTCAATAACTCAAATCAATAATACGAAAAAATTAAACATGAAAATGGGTTAAAAATTTCACCCCTGCTTAAAAGAATATTTTTAGTGGTGACCAAAATCCAGATTTATAAAAAAATTTTAAAAAGATTGTTTTCTTGTTACTAGCCATTTTGTTAATAAGTAGGGCTAGCTACGATAGTTTCAATACATCGATAAATTGTTGGATTTCATACCGGCTGGCGAACGGGCACATTTAGCGGCCATGCCTAAGCTTCCGCATTCATTGTCTCGTCGTCCTTCGGGGAGGACAGCAGCTCCGGAATAAATCTGACTTACAACTGCAAGGCGATCATCCCATATATTAAAATGTTTAAATTCTATTATTTCTTTTTATTACGTGTCCAACGTTTCCTTGTCTACGTAAATTTATTTGGGAGGTATCTCCGAGCACTTCCAATTCGCCTTTTTTAAGTACAGCACGGCGACAGGCTGCAGTTACCCAGTTCATGGAGCTGGTTTCGCAGTCACAAGCGTTACATTCGTTCGCTATGACCACTCCAAATTTTCAGGCATGGTCCAAGCGTAAGGTGGACAATTCTGACTCATCCTCGCTGATGCTGGTGTTACTGTCTCTGCAGACCATGAGCAAAAAGCAGTGTTTCCATGAATTGATCTAAAATAGGTTCAATTTCTCGAGTGCCGGCTAAAATTTTTTGGGACTGAAATAGTTCCTGCTCTTACCCAACAACCTCGAAGAACTTTATAAATGTCGTGCACATGTGCGGAGGGTTCATTCGTCGACTGAGATGTCGATGGTGTCACTGTCTCTGCAGACCATTAGCAAAAAGCAGTCGAAGGAAACAGATGGAGTACACTCGCTGAAGCTCAGTGTTGCCACGTCTACTGCTAAGCGGAATTATTCTACGAGGAACTGAAGACGAAGAAATGCAGTCACAGATGTTACATTCGTTGGTGATGACCACTCCAGAGCTACGATCTTCCGGCATTACCTTTGTATAGGGAAAGCGGACTCCACCACCTTCATCGCAGCAATTAACCTGACAGGGATCCCCACAACTTTGACCCCTCTCGGTGTATTGAACACAGGCTGCACTCGGTGTTGGGATTGTCATAAAAGAGGTACTGTGACTGAACATCCTGGAGCCTTTCTAATCCCGAGTCTTCATTGTCGATGTCTTAGGGGTACCTCTAGCAAATTAAAGATCGAACACTTTAAAATTTTCTTTCACATTTATAAAAGATGCTTTTCTAGTCTTATTGACATCATTGAAAACTACTTGCAAAAACATGTTTACAAAGTTATTTGGAAATAACAAAGTTTTTTACTGGGCGTGGTCGGAAGTTGTACAAACAAAATTGGTCACCTAACTCAAGATGTTCTTTTAATAACTTTCCAAAAATTCAATATCTACATTGCACGCGTTTAGCAGAACAACATGACAGACAGAGGCAAAAATTCTTGCATCATTAATTTATTCCATTTTAGCGGTTCTTACCGAATTCTTAAAAATAGATATTACTACATTAATCAACACCGGACCCTTAATAAATAACTGGCTTATAAAAGTAGTTTTTGGCCAGTTTGGCCAAACACGCATATTATCACATTCAAAAGGAAAATATAATAGCCTGAAAACAGTGTTCTTTTAGGCCACTTTTTATTCCGTTGTGTACTGGGCCTAACTGTTTAACGCGAGTTCATTCATTTTTTGTTTCGATGCTGATTCTATAGGCATTTTTCGTTTGTGTTTTGGAATTTTTGAAGTGGTTTTTATACCCTATGCACACAAAGGGGGTCAGCGACTTTTTCCTCCATAAGAAATACACGTGTAGGAAAGAGACGGGAAAACTCGCTGCAGCGGAAAATGGCGTCGCACACGCAAATCGATTCAGTATTTCAGTGTCTTATTTAGTATTTTTTACGATCTTAGGTGATTTTCGTACTTGGTGTTTCGGTATTTTTTTTGAGAAGAAAATGTATTTTATTTGCAACATGCAGAGGGTATTACCCGTCTGCGTTTCCTATCGAGTTACCTAAAGTAAAAATCCAAAAAATACAAACAATACCAAATATTTCGTCAATAACAGCGAAGTTTTTTAATCCTATGCTCAATTCTAGAGGTAATTGGTCCCACGGCGCTTATGTAGTCCATCAAGGCATCCAAATCGAAAGGACCCATTCTGGGAAAAAGCGAATCCATTTGTTTTTCGGGGTCCAAATTAAATTTACCTTGTGTGCAATAGTTACTCAAGATCCTCTGCGTTTTCGCTCATTACGCCGAAAAATTTCACCCCTGCTTAAAAGAATATTTTTAGTGGTGACCAAAATCCAGATTTATAAAAAAATGTTAAAAAGATTGTTTTCTTGTTACTAGCCATTTTGTTAAAAAGTAGGGCTAGCTACGATAGTTTCAATACATCGATAAATTGTTGGATTTCATACCGGCTGGCGAACGGGCACATTTAGCGGCCATGCCTAAGCTTCCGCATTCATTGTCTCGTCGTCCTTCGGGGAGGACAGCAGCTCCGGAATAAATCTGATTTACAACTGCAAGGCGATCATCCCGAAAAACCCTTCTACTTGTAGTGCCGATTTCCAGACCGGGCACTTCCCATATATTAAAATGTTTAAATTTTATTATTTTTTTTATTACGTGTCCAACGTTTCCTTGTCTACGTAAATTTATTTGGGAGGTAGCTCCGAGCACTTCCAATTCGTCTTTTTTAAGTACAGCACGGCGACAGGCTGCAGTTACCCAGTTCATGGAGCTGGTTTCGCAGTCACAAGCGTTACATTCGTTCGCTATGACCACTCCAAATTTTCAGGCATGGTCCAAGCGTAAGGTGGACAATTCTGACTCATCCTCGCTGATGCTGGTGTTACTGTCTCTGCAGACCATGAGCAAAAAGCAGTGTTTCCATGAATTGATCTAAAATAGGTTCAATTTCTCGAGTGCCGGCTAAAATTTTTTGGGACTGAAATAGTTCCTGCTCTTACCCAACAACCTCGAAGAACTTTATAAATGTCGTGCACATGTGCGGAGGGTTCATTCGTCGACTGAGATGTCGATGGTGTCACTGTCTCTGCAGACCATTAGCAAAAAGCAGTCGAAGGAAACAGATGGAGTACACTCGCTGAAGCTCAGTGTTGCCACGTCTACTGCTAAGCGGAATTATTCTACGAGGAACTGAAGACGAAGAAATGCAGTCACAGATGTTACATTCGTTGGTGATGACCACTCCAGAGCTACGATCTTCCGGCATTACCTTTGTATAGGGAAAGCGGACTCCACCACCTTCATCGCAGCAATTAACCTGACAGGGATCCCCACAACTTTGACCCCTCTCGGTGTATTGAACACAGGCTGCACTCGGTGTTGGGATTGTCATAAAAGAGGTACTCTGACTGAACATCCTGGAGCCTTTCTAATCCCGAGTCTTCATTGTCGATGTCTTAGGGGTACCTCTAGCAAATTAAAGATCGAACACTTTAAAATTTTCTTTCACATTTATAAAAGATGCTTTTCTAGTCTTATTGACATCATTGAAAACTACTTGCAAAAACATGTTTACAAAGTTATTTGGAAATAACAAAGTTTTTTACTGGGCGTGGTCGGAAGTTGTACAAACAAAATTGGTCACCTAACTCAAGATGTTCTTTTAATAACTTTCCAAAAATTCAATATCTACATTGCACGCGTTTAGCAGAACAACATGAAAGACAGAGGCAAAAATTCTTGCATCATTAATTTATTCCATTTTAGCGGTTCTTACCGAATTCTTAAAAATAGATATTACTACATTAATCAACACCGGACCCTTAATAAATAACTGGCTTATAAAAGTAGTTTTTGGCCAGTTTGGCCAAACACGCATATTATCACATTCAAAAGGAAAATATAATAGCCTGAAAACAGTGTTCTTTTAGGCCACTTTTTATTACGTTGTGTACTGGGCCTAACTGTTTAACGCGAGTTCATTCATTTTTTGTTTCGATGCTGATTCTATAGGCATTTTTCGTTTGTGTTTTGGAATTTTTGAAGTGGTTTTTATACCCTATGCACACAAAGGGGGTCAGCGACTTTTTCCTCCATAAGAAATACACGTGTAGGAAAGAGACGGGAAAACTCGCTGCAGCGGAAAATGGCGTCGCACACGCAAATCGATTCAGTATTTCAGTGTCTTATTTAGTATTTTTTACGATCTTAGGTGATTTTCGTACTTGGTGTTTCGGTATTTTTTTTGAGAAGAAAATGTATTTTATTTGCAACATGCAGAGGGTATTACCCGTCTGCGTTTCCTATCGAGTTACCTAAAGTAAAAATCCAAAAAATACAAACAATACCAAATATTTCGTCAATAAAAGCTACGTTTTTTAATCCTATGCTCAATTCTAGAGGTAATTGGTCCCACGGCGCTTATGTAGTCCATCAAGGCATCCAAATCGAAAGGACCCATTCTGGGAAAAAGCGAATCCATTTGTTTTTCGGGGTCCAAATTAAATTTACCTTGTGTGCAATAGTTACTCAAGATCCTCTGCGTTTTCGCTCATTACGCCGAAAAATTTCACCCCTGCTTAAAAGAATATTTTTAGTGGTGACCAAAATCCAGATTTATAAAAAAATGTTAAAAAGATTGTTTTCTTGTTACTAGCCATTTTGTTAAAAAGTAGGGCTAGCTACGATAGTTTCAATACATCGATAAATTGTTGGATTTCATACCGGCTGGCGAACGGGCACATTTAGCGGCCATGCCTAAGCTTCCGCATTCATTGTCTCGTCGTCCTTCGGGGAGGACAGCAGCTCCGGAATAAATCTGATTTACAACTGCAAGGCGATCATCCCGAAAAACCCTTCTACTTGTAGTGCCGATTTCCAGACCGGGCACTTCCCATATATTAAAATGTTTAAATTTTATTATTTTTTTTATTACGTGTCCAACGTTTCCTTGTCTACGTAAATTTATTTGGGAGGTAGCTCCGAGCACTTCCAATTCGTCTTTTTTAAGTACAGCACGGCGACAGGCTGCAGTTACCCAGTTCATGGAGCTGGTTTCGCAGTCACAAGCGTTACATTCGTTCGCTATGACCACTCCAAATTTTCAGGCATGGTCCAAGCGTAAGGTGGACAATTCTGACTCATCCTCGCTGATGCTGGTGTTACTGTCTCTGCAGACCATGAGCAAAAAGCAGTGTTTCCATGAATTGATCTAAAATAGGTTCAATTTCTCGAGTGCCGGCTAAAATTTTTTGGGACTGAAATAGTTCCTGCTCTTACCCAACAACCTCGAAGAACTTTATAAATGTCGTGCACATGTGCGGAGGGTTCATTCGTCGACTGAGATGTCGATGGTGTCACTGTCTCTGCAGACCATTAGCAAAAAGCAGTCGAAGGAAACAGATGGAGTACACTCGCTGAAGCTCAGTGTTGCCACGTCTACTGCTAAGCGGAATTATTCTACGAGGAACTGAAGACGAAGAAATGCAGTCACAGATGTTACATTCGTTGGTGATGACCACTCCAGAGCTACGATCTTCCGGCATTACCTTTGTATAGGGAAAGCGGACTCCACCACCTTGATCGCAGCAATTAACCTGACAGGGATCCCCACAACTTTGACCCCTCTCGGTGTATTGAACACAGGCTGCACTCGGTGTTGGGATTGTCATAAAAGAGGTACTGTGACTGAACATCCTGGAGCCTTTCTAATCCCGAGTCTTCATTGTCGATGTCTTAGGGGTACCTCTAGCAAATTAAAGATCGAACACTTTAAAATTTTCTTTCACATTTATAAAAGATGCTTTTCTAGTCTTATTGACATCATTGAAAACTACTTGCAAAAACATGTTTACAAAGTTATTTGGAAATAACAAAGTTTTTTACTGGGCGTGGTCGGAAGTTGTACAAACAAAATTGGTCACCTAACTCAAGATGTTCTTTTAATAACTTTCCAAAAATTCAATATCTACATTGCACGCGTTTAGCAGAACAACATGAAAGACAGAGGCAAAAATTCTTGCATCATTAATTTATTCCATTTTAGCGGTTCTTACCGAATTCTTAAAAATAGATATTACTACATTAATCAACACCGGACCCTTAATAAATAACTGGCTTATAAAAGTAGTTTTTGGCCAGTTTGGCCAAACACGCATATTATCACATTCAAAAGGAAAATATAATAGCCTGAAAACAGTGTTCTTTTAGGCCACTTTTTATTACGTTGTGTACTGGGCCTAACTGTTTAACGCGAGTTCATTCATTTTTTGTTTCGATGCTGATTCTATAGGCATTTTTCGTTTGTGTTTTGGAATTTTTGAAGTGGTTTTTATACCCTATGCACACAAAGGGGGTCAGCGACTTTTTCCTCCATAAGAAATACACGTGTAGGAAAGAGACGGGAAAACTCGCTGCAGCGGAAAATGGCGTCGCACACGCAAATCGATTCAGTATTTCAGTGTCTTATTTAGTATTTTTTACGATCTTAGGTGATTTTCGTACTTGGTGTTTCGGTATTTTTTTTGAGAAGAAAATGTATTTTATTTGCAACATGCAGAGGGTATTACCCGTCTGCGTTTCCTATCGAGTTACCTAAAGAAAAATCCAAAAAATACAAACAATACCAAATATTTCGTCAATAAAAGCTACGTTTTTTAATCCTATGCTCAATTCTAGAGGTAATTGGTCCCACGGCGCTTATGTAGTCCATCAAGGCATCCAAATCGAAAGGACCCATTCTGGGAAAAAGCGAATCCATTTGTTTTTCGGGGTCCAAATTAAATTTACCTTGTGTGCAATAGTTACTCAAGATCCTCTGCGTTTTCGCTCATTACGCCGAAAAATTTCACCCCTGCTTAAAAGAATATTTTTAGTGGTGACCAAAATCCAGATTTATAAAAAAATGTTAAAAAGATTGTTTTCTTGTTACTAGCCATTTTGTTAAAAAGTAGGGCTAGCTACGATAGTTTCAATACATCGATAAATTGTTGGATTTCATACCGGCTGGCGAACGGGCACATTTAGCGGCCATGCCTAAGCTTCCGCATTCATTGTCTCGTCGTCCTTCGGGGAGGACAGCAGCTCCGGAATAAATCTGATTTACAACTGCAAGGCGATCATCCCGAAAAACCCTTCTACTTGTAGTGCCGATTTCCAGACCGGGCACTTCCCATATATTAAAATGTTTAAATTTTATTATTTTTTTTATTACGTGTCCAACGTTTCCTTGTCTACGTAAATTTATTTGGGAGGTAGCTCCGAGCACTTCCAATTCGTCTTTTTTAAGTACAGCACGGCGACAGGCTGCAGTTACCCAGTTCATGGAGCTGGTTTCGCAGTCACAAGCGTTACATTCGTTCGCTATGACCACTCCAAATTTTCAGGCATGGTCCAAGCGTAAGGTGGACAATTCTGACTCATCCTCGCTGATGCTGGTGTTACTGTCTCTGCAGACCATGAGCAAAAAGCAGTGTTTCCATGAATTGATCTAAAACAGGTTCAATTTCTCGAGTGCCGGCTAAAATTTTTTGGGACTGAAATAGTTCCTGCTCTTACCCAACAACCTCGAAGAACTTTATAAATGTCGTGCACATGTGCGGAGGGTTCATTCGTCGACTGAGATGTCGATGGTGTCACTGTCTCTGCAGACCATTAGCAAAAAGCAGTCGAAGGAAACAGATGGAGTACACTCGCTGAAGCTCAGTGTTGCCACGTCTACTGCTAAGCGGAATTATTCTACGAGGAACTGTAGACGAAGAAATGCAGTCACAGATGTTACATTCGTTGGTGATGACCACTCCAGAGCTACGATCTTCCGGCATTACCTTTGTATAGGGAAAGCGGACTCCACCACCTTCATCGCAGCAATTAACCTGACAGGGATCCCCACAACTTTGACCCCTCTCGGTGTATTGAACACAGGCTGCACTCGGTGTTGGGATTGTCATAAAAGAGGTACTGTGACTGAACATCCTGGAGCCTTTCTAATCCCGAGTCTTCATTGTCGATGTCTTAGGGGTACCTCTAGCAAATTAAAGATCGAACACTTTAAAATTTTCTTTCACATTTATAAAAGATGCTTTTCTAGTCTTATTGACATCATTGAAAACTACTTGCAAAAACATGTTTACAAAGTTATTTGGAAATAACAAAGTTTTTTACTGGGCGTGGTCGGAAGTTGTACAAACAAAATTGGTCACCTAACTCAAGATGTTCTTTTAATAACTTTCCAAAAATTCAATATCTACATTGCACGCGTTTAGCAGAACAACATGACAGACAGAGGCAAAAATTCTTGCATCATTAATTTATTCCATTTTAGCGGTTCTTACCGAATTCTTAAAAATAGATATTACTACATTAATCAACACCGGACCCTTAATAAATAACTGGCTTATAAAAGTAGTTTTTGGCCAGTTTCGCCAAACACGCATATTATCACATTCAAAAGGAAAATATAATAGCCTGAAAACAGTGTTCTTTTAGGCCACTTTTTATGTTTAACTGTTTAACGCGAGTTCATTCATTTTTCGTTTCGATGCTGATTCTATAGGCATTTTTCGTTTGTGATTTGGAATTTTTGAAGTGGTTTTTATACCCTATGCACACAAAGGGGGTCAGTGACTTTTTCCTCCATAAGAAATACACGTGTAGGAAAGAGACGGGAAAACTCGCTGCAGCGGAAAATGGCGTCGCACAGGCAAATCGATTCAGTATTTCAGTGTCTTATTTAGTATTTTTTACGATCTTAGGTGATTTTCGTACGTGGTGTTTTGGTATTTTTTTTAGAAGAAAATGTATTTTATTTGCAACATGCAGAGGGTATTACCCGTCTGCGTTTCCTATCGAGTTACCTAAAGTAAAAATCCAAAAAATACAAACAATACCAAATATTTCGTCAATAAAAGCTAAGTTTTTTAATCCTATGCTCAATTCCAGAGGTAATTGGTCCCACGGCGCTCATGTAGTCCATCAAGGCATCCAAATCGAAAGGACCCATTCTGGGAAAAAGCGAATCCATTTGTTTTTCGGGGTCCAAATTAAATTTACCTTGTGTGCAATAGTTACTCAAGATCCTCTGCGTTTTCGCTGATTACGCCGAAACCATTCTTTCCGTTCGCTAGGTATTCCATGACCACCACGCGGTACCTCTCCTCCATAGCCAGTGGTCCATACTCGGGCACTTGGCTCTTGGAGCACCGAACTCGGACATTGGAGACGCGCTGACCAGCGGGACCGGTCAAATCAAAAGCAAACCGAAGACCGGAAACCTGCAGGAATCTGGAGGACCTGGGCGAGAACGAACTGACGTTCATGGGCGCCACACCGTGCTCCAGAAGCTCCACAATGTGCTTCCCACGAAGAGTTAGGGCGACCAATCGATTCTGCCAGGGGCACATGGCAAAAAGTTGCTTATAGGTGATGTCTGGGAAGGAAAATTCATCTAAGGATCAACACAATACAATACATTTTTAAAAAATACTTGACTTTTTTTCTATTTAAATATTTTTAAAAAGAAAAAAAGTAATCTATAAAATTAACCCATCTTTATATACTTACGGAACATACAGAATATGCCTACTACAAACCTAACCAGCTAAAATTTAATTAGAATTCTGCAGACTGATAAAAAGATTTTGGCCAAAAATAGCATGGGTCTTAGCATTTTCTAACCCTACTAATAATTCATACGAAGTCCTTTTTTGGATAGGTGAAAGAGCTTAAATCAAACTCACTGCCAGCTGAAATGGGCACTCGAAATGTGCCCTGCGAAGTCAGGGCTATGGTCACGTTACTCCAACTGTCCTCGAGGGACGATGATGAAGCATCTTTGACGAACTGTTGGTTTTCGGGGGGTTAGGATCAGTACTTTAAGAATACAACCAGCCCGCACTTACCGCATGAAGCATTGCATCCGTGAAAAAGTTCCCCAGATTGCACTCTCCACGGCTGCACTCGACCTGCTGGAGATAAACCCGACTTTCGCCCACGACCCGGTTGGCGTAAGATTCCATCTCGTTTTGCCACGGCACCATCGCCTGCAGTACGATATCATCTTTAAAGGAAAAAATTATGAAATAAATTGTAATAAATTTATAGTACACAATTTTGAGCCTTCGAGGTTATAGATCAGTTATCTTTATTGCACATTTAATTAGTTTTCTGAATTTAATACCAGACCTTCAAAATTAATATTAGGTTCAAAACACCCAAGAAAAACCAATTTTTTTTTTTCTTCGTAAAGTTTATTGGGACTAATGCAACAATTTGGCAGCACAATTTATTTTGTAGTGCAGTGATTAGTTGAGCACGGTGATGCGTCCATCGAGACCCTGGTAGATGGGATCAAGGTGTTCGGTGTACGAGATCAGGGCATCCAAGTCGGTGACTCCAAACCTGCCATTGAAAAGAAAAAGATATATTAAAACCCTTCCAAGAAATAATATTCTCATATATTATAATGTTAAGTTGGTCGGAGTGTACTTACTGGATATCTGTGCCCTCGGCGAGCATGGTGTACCCATCGCCGCCCGCCTGCAGGAAGTTGGGCGATGTGAGGCGATATAGTTGGTCGGATACCAGGGGCTCGTACTTGGGCACCTCGCAGTCCGCACAACGAATCGCCACGGATACAACCCGCGATCCGACAGGCTTGGTGTAGTCGTACTTCACCCGAATGCCCGAGAACTGCAGGTTAATATACGATCCGGTCACCCCGTTCTCAAGGTCCACCTTGCTAACGGCCCACTCCATAGCCTCCACTATTTTGCTGCCCGGCAGATTGTAGGATACCAGGGTGTTCTCGAAGGGTGACATACTGACTATATGGGCGTACGTAAGACCTGCAGACGGTGAAGTTGATTTTATTAAAAAACTAGCATTAAATTGTAATATCCTGATAATAACTCATACTTACTGCCCCTGTTGAGTGGCACGCGAAGTCCTCCGATGTTCATGAGTCCGGCGGAGACATTCGTCCACGCCTTTTGTTCATAGGGAGCCATTTCCACGAACTAGAAATGGGATGGGTATGCGATGTTATATAAGGAACTATGCCTTGAAGAAATGCACCACTTACAGAATGCACCATGGCGTCGCAGAAGTAGTTGCCCAGGTTGCACTCTCCGGCGGCACAATCGTCCTTGGTGAGGTCCACTTTGGTGGTTCCCACCACCACCTTGCCCATTTCATCGACCGTCACCTTCCACGGCGCCATGGCCTCGAGCACCTCCTCATCTGCGGGGAGCACAACGCACAAATATAAAACACATTATACACTACATATGTTAACTAAAATCAGGGACTTTCACAAGTAACACCAAACAACAAGCTCAAGGTACACAATGTATACTAACTTCAAACAGAACTTAAAACATATAGTCACAACAAAAAAATTCACTTAAACCTCACAGGGAGAAAAGTAAGCAAAAAGAGGAAACGGGTACTTAAACGGGTACCATTAAAAATGTAACCATAATAAATCATCAAGTGTATTCCCGGAAAATGTCCGCCTAATAACTACTTGAGAATTATAACTCAATATAGGCAGTAGAGGTTTACAAACATACAGTTTTTTTTATATTTGAAATTTACATTGTCCGATTCCTGTATTTGTTATGTAATGCTTTACGAACTATAACACTATATTAATTATTATTTAAAATAACGTTATATTTCGATTTGAATTATAACGTTTATGAATGAGTGTAGCTATCATCAAAAAGCCTCAGCTAAATGTTCTTAAATAAAGCACACATAAAAATACCTAATAATTTTGGAAACACACACAAAGACAACTTGAAATGATTTGATAGTCACTAGTTAATATGAAAAATTCAATATACATTGTGCAAGAAAGATTCCCACATTATAGAAAGATGTGATTCTCCCCAAGTTACCCTACTCACTTATCAATGAGATGTATCTATTTGCACTGACCTTCGGGCACGGATTGGTCCATGTAGAGCGGATCGCCCTCGAAATCCAGGACATCGCCGTTGTCATCGAAGTAGACGATCAGGTTGCCCACGTAGCGGGCATAGGCCGAGGCCTGGACGATGAGGACGCGGTGGCCGGAGCTGTGGATTACCTCGGTGGGGTAATCGCCGGCGGGGCTGTGCGGACCCGGCGGATCACCGGTGTAGAGGAAGGTGTGCGAGTGGGAGCCCACGATGACGTCGATCCAGTCGCCGGCATTGGCCGCGATCTCCTGGTCCACATCGTAGCCACAGTGTGAGATCACGATGATGATGTTGGCCCCCTGGGCTTTTAGCAGCTGCGCCTCCTCGCGAATAGTATCGCTCTCGTTTCGAAAGATCACCTTGCCGGTATTGGCCAGATCCTGCAGGAGATCCATACAATTTACAAGGAATCACGAAGAGAGATCCATCCCCAAACTCACGTAGGTCGTCTCTAGGATAACACCAATCAGGCCAATCTTTCGACCCGACCGCTCAATGATCATCGACTTGTTGTACTTGCCCTCCAAGGTGGGTTCGTGGGCGCAGTCCATGTTGGCCACCAGCATATTGGTCTCCACTGTTTCCAGGAAGGGTACAAGCCCCTCCACTCCGTGATCGAACTCGTGATTGCCGAGGGTCTGAAATTGATAGTTAGTAAGCTTCTTTATAAGAAAAAATCGACAGGGTACCCAAAATAATTTGGGAACTTCTAAAATACTTCAAAATAAACGTATTACCTCTTCTTCTTTTGTATGATAAACAAAATTTTACGATTAGCCTTTAATCTATATAGATTAAAGCTTGAATAAAATTTTAAACAATTACATTTTTTTGGTTTCCAAATATTTTAAGTTTTTATGTATGAACTATATTAAGTATCTTTTACTTTAGTTCGCTTCTGAATAATATTATACCCAAGAAAAAAATGAATATTAAAAATTTTGAGTTCGCGATTTTCTTTTAAATTCTAGAACCTATTTCTTTCAAATGGGATAGATTTCTCTACGTCATGCTAGGTTTCTAGTTTGTTATCTGTCAAATAAAGTTAAATTGTTTGGAAAGTCCAATTCGTTTTCTCAATTAGAATGGCATATATTTAAAAATAAATTTTTTTTAGGAATAGATAACTTTTCTAATTTATAGAAAAAAGACTCAAGAGCAAATTCTTTTTTTTATTGTATACCACATACCATTGCTTCGGCGGGCAGGATGTTCAGGAGCTGCTGGGTGACGTTCCAGCGACCGATGTTGTACCAGAGCGTTCCCTGGAAACTGTCGCCGGCATTGATGTAGATGGGATTGAGGTCCGCTTGCTCCTGGAGGAGCTTCCTCACGGTGTAGACGGTGCGCGGATATCCGCCAATGCACTCCTCTCCATCATCGCAGGTGCCGCCGGAGGTGTCCGTGGGTTCGAACCTGCGGATAATCGCAATCGAAGCAGGGATTAGCTCTGGAGTGGGCTCGTGCTGGAATCCCCATGCCCATGTACGTATACCCATAGGTAACGTTATCGGGATCGAGATCGGAATCAGTACATGGGTCTGATAAACCATGGTTTACGGCCATGCGTGTTAGTCATAAACCACTTCCATTTGATTATTCCGAACTCGACTTCGGGTCGCGGTTTTTTCCGCCTCACATACCTGGCGTGCAGGTCGTTTATGTGGATGATGGATACGGGAAAGCCCTCCCTATCTGCAGCCTCCACCATGATGACCATCATCATGGCCAGAAAACCCACAAAGCGATAGCCACTGGTTGCCATTTCTCTAAACGAACTTGGATATTGAATTAACCGAAAAAAAAAAAATAAATATTCAAGTGTAGGTACATCCAGCCCGATGGCCGTCGATAAGGCAACTGGATGGCCCAAATCGCCACCAATCCGACGATTGCGAAATCTGAATGGGTTTCGGGCCGAGAGGCACTCAAGCCGATCTGGATCTGGACACCTATAGCCCACTCTCTCTCCGATAAGCCAAAAATGTACTTTATTCTCGACTGCACAGAGGGAAAAACTTAACAATGTTGCTCATTCTAGAAGTATCTCTTAATTTTTAGTTTTCAACAAAGAAAAAATTAACATCACTTAAAAATAAAAAAAAGATGAGTCTGTAAATGCCTTGGCCAAACCAAGATGGAAAGACATCTACATTCTTTGAGTTCTAGATTGAAACTGTTTATTTATATCAATTGTATGAACTTAGGTAGCTAAACTGTGAAGGGATTTACATAGGGTCTTAAGGGGGGCACTCTATGAAACGGCAGAAAAGATTGTCAGTTTTCTTCTTTTTATTGTAAATCAACCAAAAAACACAGGATATTCCCGTTTACAATATCTTTAGACATAAGTCTGAAGTTAAAAAAACAAGGTTTTGTTTGTAAAAAAAATTAAAAATGGCGGACATATTGAACATCGCCCACGGCTGGTTTTAAAAAAGTTGTCTCCCCGTCCTCACGATATCGTCTCAAGTTGAAGTCTGAAACATACAAATTATATATCAAATTAATCAGCAGGCTTGTCTCAAGTGCATGAACCTCAAAAACTATTGATATTTTTTAAAATTAGCTACAAAACCATATAAAAACAAAAAATTGAATTTTTGCTCTGTTAATTTTATTGAAAAAACATTGAAAAAAAAATTTTTTTCATGCATTTATGTGGTTCATGCACTTCTCTGTTCAATATCCTACAAAATGAGTGTTCATTTTTGAAAATCGGTTCAATGGTTTTTTTTTATCGTGAAGACGGACTCTAAAAACGTGGTTTTGAGAAAACGCGCTTCAAAGTTTAGTAACGAACACCTGGCATGACTATGCACGAGCAAATTCTAGAAATTATATCTCCGAAAGTAATAGGATTTCGACTTTGAAACTTTGCAATTATGTTCTCAGATAATATATCTATCGATTAAAGCAATAAAAAAAAAATCGAATTTTTGAACCCATTTCATAGAGTGCCCCCCTTAAATTAAGGATCGCCACATGGTCGCCAGATGTGAGCGTGACGCTCAGGTCTAAAAGATAAGAACATCGGTTTATTGGGTCGGGTTAAAAATTTAAAATATTTTTAAGGTCGAAATAAAGCCAACATTTTTTTTCAATGCAATTCAACTTGACTTGCCAAATTACCATCCTCTCCCCCGATCACTTCATTTTGTCAATATTAGTTTTGGGTTATTGGTTTTCCTATCGGTTTAGATAGTATCGGGGTATGCTAAGTTAGTATATAGCAAACGGAATTCATTTACAAATTTTGAATTTTATCAAAATAACACAAGTTTCATACATCCAAATATATTACTCATACGTCACGTTGGCATTGTTTTGCACATTATTTAAAATCAATTAAATCAGGTATAGGTTCTAACGTTTTACAATTTCTTGGACGAAATATATCTTAGAAACGCATTTACCTACTACTATGTTCCCAAACCTCTAATGATAGGTAAAATACACAAATGACATTATATAGTTTCCTGAATTTGCACATTCAATTAACCCGCAAATATCCTATGTTTTGTTTTTTACAGGGTATCAAACACTTAATGATATGCACTCATTGATTCCCGATAAGCCGTATGGTCGAGATACGGGGAAATAAATGCGGAGGGCGCCACTCCGGTAATATTCACTAACTGACACATGTTACACATGCTCTACACTTGACTGAAACCCTCTCTCTCATCCGCGTGTTTATTACGTTCTGACACAACAAAATATATGAGCGTGGGACCTGAACAGGTATTATCTCTTAACTCCGTAATATAACCGACCAACAATTTAGTTTATTGCATTGTTGGCCAACAACAAAAACTTGGCTATATTACAAACAGACGAAACCCCGATGTGAACCACGTTATCCCAGCTATCTATATAAATAAACAGTCTGGCGGTAATACGCACTTATTCTACTTGACCCTGTAATCGAGATACTTCCCTAATCAAATCCCACGCACTCTATATTCAAGGTTAAAAATATATAATAATAATAATAAAATAAGTAAAGCTTTTTGTTATAAGTCATATAAGTCATATGCTTATTGAAAAATCGCTTATCAAAACTAACGTTGGTAATGCCAGTACGATTTACACCCATATTAGCTTTATAATGCGCTAGTAAACCAGATTTTAATCAATTCTCGCCCGATAACAGTTTAATACAAGTCAAGGTACTTTAGTTAATAAAGATAGTAAATCGAAGAAAATAAAAAAGAGAGCCTAAAAGACCTTATTATTGTATGTATATGTACAATGTACATTGTACATATATCCAAAATAAGTATTATCATGTGATATAATCATTTTCAGAGAAATCTTTTTTAGCATGCTACGTAAACATCTTTCTTTGTTTTGTTCTGTTACTCAGGTATTTCATTATGCCAACCAAAACACTGCTTTTTTAGCATGCTACGTAAACATTTTTCTTTGTTTTGTTCTGTTACTCAGGTATTTCATTATGCCAACCAAAACACTGCATTTTTACGGCGGAAATATAGTATCCAGATTTTAGTCAAACATTCTGTTTCTAAGCAGTTTTTTAATCGAGGTGTACAGCTAAAAGACCGACTGTTTTGAGCAGCTTGCTACAAATGCTATCGATCGCCATCACTTTAAGGAACATTTATTTTTTGACCCATTTTCTCATTTTTTATAAGTTTTTTTTTTGTAATTCAGATTTTGGTCAAAAATACGAATTGTTTAGTGGTTTTTCAGTCGTAGTTTAGCCAAATCAAGGCGTAGAGCTAAAAGACCGACTGTTTTGAGCAGCTTGCTACAAATGCTATCGATCGCCATCACTTTAAGGAACATTAATTTTTTGACCCAATTTCTCATTTTTTATAAGGGGGTACATCATGTTTTGTTGCGAGTAATGGCAGAAATGAATGTTTTCTAGGTTTGAATGCCAAATGATTGGAAATTAAAGGACGAGCTCGACGAGGTATTATTTCCTCATTCTGACTTTTATTTTTGTTATGGCAGCCAAAAACGTAATTTTTATGGCAAGTCAAAAATACCGACCGGCTTAATCAGCTCGCTACCTATGTTAACAATTCCCATGGCTTTAAAGAAAATGTTGCTTTTGACCAATTTTTGCATTTCTTATGTTTTAGTAGAAGCAGTAGAAATTTGGTTTCATCATATCGGAAAGCCAATACAAAAGACACTTGTCAACGCGAAAGGGGTGGAATAAAAAGCATGCCTTTGCGGTATTCACCCGTATAACCATCGATTCCCGCAGGGGTGGATCGAATGTGGCCACCGGATTGTACATATCTGTATAAAATAGTACAATGATTTATTTGATTCTCATTGACAATAGATTTAGAGCTCTTTGTGGATTACTCGTAGGTATAAAGCACACTATGCATGTAAGTATTATGTTTGTCTGTATATAGATGTCAGCGCAAGTATGTATATATATATATATGTATATATATATAATAAATTGTATATAAATATAATGTATATGTAATATGTCTGTGTATAAGTATCAATGTATTATGTTAATTGCTTAGCGTAAAGCACAGAGAATTTTGATATGAGAATGGCTGAGAACATTCCTGCATGCGGTGCGCTCAGAGATCGGATACGGGTTTCATCTGGACCTAGCGACTAGCATCTAGCGTCTAGCATCCTTAAACTTCCATCTTCCACTCCAACGTCCCAGTCCGCTGGGTTAACGCAAAGGCAACAATGAGAGAACTACAACGGAAAAGTGGGCAAACAAGTGACTAGAAATGATGATAACTCTCCCTGATTTGAAAGTCGTGTTGAGCAGTGTGTTGGGCTGGGTCCACAAATCTCGCCCTTCCCTTCTAGTGAAAGACGTCCATGAAGGGGAAGTAGGCCTGCTCCGGCTCGAGGAGATCCACCAGGAAGCAGACGGTGCCGGCCACGCCCTCGTACAGGCTGTGCGGACGATCTGGTGTCCTGGCGCGCTGCTTGAACTCCGCATCGGTCAGCAGCTCCATGAACTTGTGCGCCCTGTACAGGTACTTCATCTCATTGGTCAGTCGGAACAGCAGCAGGAACACATAGCCATTGCCCGCCACACCATGGCAGATGCCCGGCCCCTTACGCAGGAAGCCCTTCTTCCAAACCATATCCGCGCAGCGACGCAGCGAGGCCAAGTACTTCTCCTCCTTGAAGATCAAATAGGCCTTGGCCAGTACATACACCGCACCAGGTGCCCCGTGGCACCAGTGCACCAAACGCTTGTCCCGGCCGGAGCGCAGATCCTCCAGGGCCACCGGGAAGTTGCCATCGCTGTCCTGCAGCTCCAGGAAGAAGTCAATCGAGCGCTTGATATCACGCAGTTCGGCGGCCGGCGCCGAAATGGGAATGGTGCGGAACCAAGGGCTGTCCAACAGCATATGCAAGATGGCACACAGGCCGTGGGCCGCGCCCAGGTACTCCGTGCCATGGTACTGGTACATCAGCGGGCACGGCGAGTTGTTTATCTTGCTGTACTCCCGGCCGCTGGTCACGATCAGCTGGCAAATTGACACCAGGTCGTCGTCGGTGATCTTCTTCTCCGGCAGCACATCGTTCAGCCAATAGCAGCCGGATAGATAGCCAGCCCGGCCCACCAGCACCTCGTCGCAGCCGTATTTGGTGTGCATAAACTCCTGACTGGACGGGATACCCGACTTGAAGTTGGCCAGGTCGTTGGACAGCTCCTCGGTGTCCTTAACCGCCTGTGAGATGGCCGCCGAAACGGCATAGATGCCGGCATTGCCGCACAGAAAGGAGTAGCGCTCGGCGGAGCGCTTCTTGTATCGCTTGGCATTCGACTTGGCGTTCCGGATGAAGGAGGCCGCATGGTCCAGGGCCGGATAAAGATCGCGCGTCTGCTCACTGCTGTTGAGCTTCCAGAACATGAAGGCTATGCCGGCATTGCCCACATACAAATCGCCTCGATTGTCCTCCTCATCGTTGTTTGGATGACAGTGCTCCAGTATGGCATCCACGTAGGTGCAGATCAGGTTCTTGATGTGCTCCTCATCGCTGGCAAACGGTGTGCTCTCACCGCCGGAAAAATCGGCGAATGGGTTCACCAAGTAGCGGCGCTCCATGGCGAATTCCTGGCCGGGATCGGCCTGCTCGTCCGGCTGTTGGGTGGTCAGTTGACCTGCCTGCTTGGTGTCCTTCTCGACTGGTCTTGCAATGGCACCTGGTCGAAACGTAAAAGGAATTTATAAGTGCAAGTCAAGAAATCGATTTGCCGGCTTTAAGGGCGCGGCCGGGCGTCTGGCCACCACCTCCTCCTCCTGCACCTGCGCCGCCCACAGCTAACTCACCTGTCTCAGGTGGAAACGGCAGTCGGGAACTGGATGAGTATCTCCTGGCGATGGGACGAACCTACGAATTGTTGAGAGTATTGTATTTAGAGTTTTTCGAAATTTATTGTTATTTTATTACCAAAGTACAAGCAATGTGTTCAAGGGACGAGAATGTTTGTGAAGTGTCTGTGATTAAGGGAAAACACGTAGCACTTTCCTCACAGCCACCTGAAATCCGGAAAACTTGGCGCTTCTAAAGGAGAACTGGTTTCAAACTGCCAAACTGCTCGACACGAAATATTTAAACAATTCCTAGCCGGAATATTCAAGTCCTGTCGAAGAAAGCTGAGCGAAACATCGATGTTCTATCGATACATTGCTTTAGCCATCGATGTTTAAATAGTTTACAAAAAAAAGTTTAGAAAACAAAAAGGTTATTTCTATATGACCGGAAAGCAATTTGAATTGATTTATATATTTAAATAAATATGCTATATGGCAACGACTGTAAACTTACGGTCTTTCAGCTATCGATAACTGAGGTTTCAGAGTTACAATATACATATATCGGTTAAAAGTAACGCTTTAAAGCTTAATATTTATGAATATATTATAAAAATAGAAGAGCTCTGCAATTTTTATTTATTCCCTTGCATTTTTTATAGTTTGGTTATGTTTTCAGTTTAACTTTTAAAATAAAGTTATGTTTATTTTAGCTTCAAATATACATTATTTTGATATATCTCCTAAATCCGATTTTACTGGGTTTTTAAAACTTTGAATTACTATTTGCCTATCCTTCTATTTCCATCATTTTTATCCAATCCTATATCGAATTTCGAATGAAAAACACAAAATTGCAGATTTTGCTTATCAACTCGATCGGTTTATTTTAACAACAGTATAAATATATATCAGAAGGTATTATCCCTGCATCACAAGTTTATGTTCAGTGCTCACTTCCTGCGCTGACCGCCACTCAGAATGGTGACGATGCGGATGAATATGTTCAGCACATCCATGTAGATCGACATTGAGCTGAAAAAAAAACAAAGCGTTAAAATGGATTTCAGGATTGGATGGTCGAGGCATTGACTTACGCATTGATAGGATCGAATGGAGTGTAGCTGTACTGGGGATGCATCTCGGCGCGACGCACCATCCGCTGGGTGTCGTAGAGAAGGAAGCCACTGAACAGGACGAGACCGCCGTACAGGGACATGGAGGCCAGACCTGGGGAAAGCAAGTTTAAAGGGGTTATATCTACTTGAAGATCTGTAAAACAGGGGTACCACCACTTGAAAATCCAAAAAATGGTTTGATTTTTTTTACAAAAACAACAC